TTTTAATTTTTTGTCAAAATTTGGTTTTGAACTCGATTTCATGGTACACTGTGACATGGAAATGTGATGGTGTGAAATCAGGACATTCTCAGGTTAAAGTTTTTGGTTAAGGTAGTTGACCATGAAGTTGTAGTTACATCAACTTGAAAGTCAGTACACATGTTTATTTTGATGTGAATGTATGTGTATAGATTCTGAACCCAAACACGGACAGGGTCACCACTCGACCTTTGGAACTGAAAAATGCCTTGAATTATAAATGAGTTGTTTCAGGCCTGATAAATGCCCTTGAAATTTGTGAAAATGGCAAAAAATCTACGATAAAACCTTGCATGAATTTCTACCGATAAGTAGCTTTTAAATTTTGAGTTACTTTTCTTTCGCATATATTCCAAACTGCCAGACTGTTCCAGCTTCAAGTCGCTCTCTACTCTGCACTGCACAATTATTTCCATACAGAGATGTTTGTTTAAATGTCTTTATTAAGATAAAAGTAAATTGTGGTTTCTTTATCCATCTCTTAAAATGGGAATCCATCAGCAATTACACATCTCTGTTTCGACCAATCTTTTATCCTATTATTGTCTTCTTTTTTTAATGGTCGAGAGTATGTGCCTGCCAACTAAGATGACTGTCATTACTTTTAACAGAAATTTCGGGAACTGAAAGCCTTATAAAATTATTTTGAAAAGCTCAGTGTATATAGACAACTATTACCTAAGTTTTACAGTTTTATACTCTAACCAGAGACATATATATGTCTCTGCTCTAACTGTAACTGAATAATGTACGTTTTTAAACTGGTTATCTGTATCGTAGGATACGAAAGAGCCACTGAATTTGATTGCAAATCAATTTGTTCAAATGAAAATTACACGCTATAAATTTCGTGCGTCCGAAGCGCTTTCCTGGATTTGCCGGCTGCATCAGACACAGTGATTGACACTCAAACCTATAAAATTGAATGACATGCAGGAATTTGTAAATAAGTATTGTAACGTTTGGAGTAATATGACAAAAAAAGGACCTTAATTGAATAGTCAAATTCACCTAAGGTTAGGTCAATTTTGCCTGGGGGAGTCGAAACCTTAGTTTCTGTATTACTTTTTAATTTATCAACGGGGAATTTAAAAATATAAAATTGAGAATGGAAATGGGGAATGTGTCAAAGAGACAACAACCCGACCATAGTATGTTATACAACGTCAAGAGTGCATACGTTAAAATATCTCGCCTACTTAACTGATCGTGATTGATTTTACGTTGACAGTCTTTAAGATAAAGGTTTTACTACAAACAACACATGCAGAATTAAAGTAATTCAAGAAAACAAACCAGAAAGAGAAGAACTGTGTTTTAGCCCAGTAAATTCTGAGTTTGTAAAAAACAAATCAATAAAATTAATATTAAAAAGGCAGCAGGAAAAGATGGAATCTCTTCAAAAATATCAAAACTATCTGAATCTGAATTATTCAATCCAATTTCTAAATTAATAAATAAATCATTTGAATCAGCTGTTTTCCCAGATAAATTAAAGGAAGCACAAGTAATACCTCTGCATAAAAATTCAAACACTCTAGATAAAGGAAACTATAGACCTGTAAGTATATTGCCCATGATTTCAAAATTTTTGAGATGTCTATAGAAACTCAACTTGTAGAATATTTTAATTCTTTTTTCCACATTTTTCTGTCAACTTTTCGAAAAGGATATGGATGCCAAACCGTTTTATTGAAAATAATTGAAGATTGGAAACAGGCTTTAGATCAGAATAAACATGTAGCAGCTATATTAATGGTTGCCTACCCCATTACCTCCTTCTTCTAAAATTAAAATCCTATGGTGTCTCCGCCTCTTCTGTTAAACTTTTGGAAAGTTATTTAACTAATAGAATACAGTGTGTTAAAGTAGGTACTAATTCAAGCTACTGGCAATCAATGTTTAAAGGGGTGCCACAAGAGTCTATATTGAGGCCGACATTATTTAATATTTTTTTAAATGACATTTTCTATTTTATTCATAAAAGTGAACTCTATAATTATGCAAATGACAACACCCTTTCATACGCAGATAAAGATTTAGATTCAATTAATTAATACTCTAGAAGATGAAAGCACAGTTTTGATTAATTGGTTCTCAATAAATTAAATGAAAGCTAATCCTGAAAAATTTCAAGCTATAGCTGTAGGTAAAAAAACTAAAGACAAAAACTTAAAATTTAAATTAGAAGGTAATGAAATAGAATGTGAAGATAACGTTAAACTTCTAGGTGTAACAATAGATTTTGAATAAAATTTCAATGAACATGTCTCTATAAAATGCAAAAAAGCATCTAAACAGCTATAGATGTATTAAAAAGAATTGGAAAACACCTGACTAAACTTGGAAAATTAACAATTAATTATTCTTTCATAATGTCCAACTTTAATTACTGCCCACTAGTTTGACACTTTTGTCGGGAGGTTAATACAAAAAAGATAGAGAAAACTCAAGAGAGAACACTAAGATTTATCTATGAAGACTATTCAGCAAGTTATGAAGATCTACTCTGCAAATAAAAATTACCATCTTTAAAAATAAGAAGAATGCGATCATTGGCGATTGAAGTTTTCAAAATTATTAATAAAGATTGTCCTGTTTATCTCCATGATTTAATACACTTAAAAGGAAAACACTTACTCTTTTAGATACCAGAATACAGCCGACTTACCACGTGTAAGAACAACTGCATACGGCCTACAATCTTTAAGGTATGCGGGTGCTAAGCTTTGGAACGAGCTGCCAGATGAGCTACGTAAGCAATCATCTTTAAATCAATTCAAGAACTTGATAAATTCTTGGTCTGGCAGTTCATGCCAATGTTTTGCCTGCAAAACCAGTTAATTCTGTTCATTATTTTTAGTTTAATGCTTTGTTTTCATAGATATAAGAAGATGTGGTATGAGTGCCAATGAGACAACTCACCATCCAAGTCACAATTTATAAAAGTAAACAATTATAGGTCAAAGTACGGCCTTCAACACGGAGCCTTGGAATACACCAAACAGCAAGCTATAAAGGGCCCAAAAATGACTAGTGTAAAATATTTCAAACCAACGGTCTAATCTATATAAAAAACGAGAAACACTTATAAACCACATCAACAAACGACAACCACTGAACATCAGAGTCCTGACTTAGGACAGGTGCAAACAATTGCAGCTGGTTTAAACGTTTTAATGGTACCAAACCTTCGCCCTTATCTGAAACAATTCAGCATGGCAAAATTATTTTGTTATCCTTACTATAGTGCTTCTGCTGCTTTGTGTTAATTTTTGTTACTTAACTAATCTCTATGTGCTTTTATGTGCAAACCATTTTATTTTTGCTTTTGTGTTTTTATCTCATAAGTGCATGCTTCACTGTATGTTTAACTTTTAAGATGCTTTAAAGAACTTTGTGTTGCATGTTTATATATTAATACGAACTCTTGCTTTCTATGTTTAATTCATGTGTGCATGACTCGATATGTATTTTTTGTTTTATAGTTGCCCTGTCGGTTTTATATATACCGACTTTAAATAAAGCTTTATGTCTTATGTCTTATGTCTTACACACTTTAACATTATCAATGATTCATGTAAATGAGGTCGTCAGATGAACATGTACACCTTACAACTATTACATACACAAAAAATAGTTAACCTATTGCTGACAGAAACAGATCTAACCACAAACACTAAACATTGACCCACGAAAATGAGGTCTTTTACTCCTGCAATAAGAAGCTTTATATCAATAGTTTAAGCAGCCGCCGCCACCGCCGGACTGTAATCGCTATTTCTTACATTCCAGCTGCGACTTTCGTCACAGGCGAGACAATACTCGTGTCAATACCGAAGCACTGACTACTTAGTTGTGATACCCTCGGAGACAAACAGTTCAGATGTCCGTTCTCTGGCAGTACTTACTAAAGATATGTGAAAATCTCCTACTTCGTTACATGAAAACTAAAATAATCAAGATAGTTTTGAATCTACAAGTTAAGCTTAATAGCAAATGATGGTAAAATTTTCCAACATTGAGCTGTAGCTGTAGCTGTTCCTTGCCTCCTTTCACTTTCTCTGGGCACTCCGGCTTCCTCCAATAAAATCTGACCATCACGAAATAGCACAAAAGTGCTGAAAGTGCCGTTTAACACAAATCAAATAATCAATTTAACTTTTTCAACTGTATAAAAAAATCTCATCGCCCGAAACACGTTTGAAATGCAAATGCTGGGTAAATTATATATAGATAAGAAAATGTGGTATGAGTGCCAATGAGACAACTCTCCATCCAAGTCACAATGTATAAAAGTAAACAATAATAGGTCAAAGTACGGCCTTCAACACGGAGCCTTGGAATACACCAAACAGCAAGCTATAAAGGGCCCCAAAATGACTAGTGTAAAATAATTCAAACCAACGGTCTAATCTATATAAAAAACGAGAAACGAGAAACACTTGTGAACCACACCAACAAACGACAACCACTGAACAACAGGCTCCTGACCCAGGACAGGTGCATACAAATGCAGCTGGTTTAAACGTCCCAACAGGCGCAAACCTTCACCCCAACCTGAAACAGCAGTGTATGTATGATTTACGGCTTACCAAACTTTAAACCTATATGACATTCTACAAACTAGTAAACCAAGCTATCGGTAACCAAAACATACATTCCATTTACATTTTTTAATTTAAATCATTGCCAGAAACATATGTTGATTTTTTTTATGGTTGATGACGGGGCATCTGTAGATATAGGCAATCTAATATCACTCAAATATAAGTTTATTGAGTCCATACTAACCTTATTAACTACTGCGACTGATGACGGGGCATCTGTAGATATATAAACAATTTAATATCACTCAAATATAAGTTTATTGAGTCAATATTGACCTACTGCGATTAAGGAACTATGGCACGCGAATTATGGTTGACCAAACTCGTGAAGAAATTGCTAACACCCTTGAATATTAAACAATTAATATATTTGTCGGATTTTTAAAAACATATTTAGATTTTTACAATTTTAATTGTTTACCGTATAAAAAAGCTCTGCAGGAAATAAATTTGGGGCACCAATGCCACAATAAAATGAATAATGTGTGCATTATATATTATGTTCATTTCATCTTTCGACACTGTAGACCGCGGCCCTCGGCATGGGTAAAGAAAAGTGGCTTTTGAATCCACCACTGTCAAGCGTCAAGGTCGAAATTGCCACAACCTGAAGATCAGTATGGTTAGGATTACACATAAGATTTTCTCCGTTTCAGTCCATGTTTCCTACACCACTCCAACATCTCGTCGGTTAAGTCTCCAATCACGGATTTATTTTCATATGATATGCTCCTACCAACATATGCAGTGTGTTTATGAGTTTGCTCATGAACTGGATCAACACATACATAATTCTCATGAGAGTTAAAGGGGTCCACAATATGATAGTTCCCATGATATCGTGAATTTTCGTTTCCACTAAAATGCGGTTCTGTTATAATAATAGGATTCACTTTATTGTTACCATACCTGGAAAAGTGAAAATAAATTTATTTTAACAATCATATTTTGCATAAATGTGTAAAAGATGGGCAATGACATTAAATCACAACAGAAATCTGAGTAAAGTAAGAAAAATTAGTTGAAGTTTAAGTTTCCGTGTTCAGTTGAATTCGTTATACGAAAATTCCATGGACCTGTAAAAAGTGAGCATGCTATTTTTTTTGTTGGTGATTTTGATATGGTTTTACGAAAAGTTGTAGTGGAATGTATAAATTTACAGGTAATAAATAGACAGTTGGAGACAACCAGTTGACTACAGAAAGAGACACTCTTATACTGGCAGGTGACAATGTCATGTAAAGTTGGGACAACATATAGAACTTGTTGTCCAACCCCTATATACCTAGAGATTTATTTGGGACCATTTGATATATTCAGACGTTTGATTATTAACTGTCCGTCTTTTTGCGAATATAATTGGCCACAAAAGGACAATTGGAGTGATATGCGGTTCGACATTATTGATCAATCCCGAAGCAAATACGACGTATACAAAAGCCATAATTCTTGAGATCAGAACAAAATTGATCTGTTACTTTTATTGTAAATGTTACATTGTACGTTGTTTTATATATCCTGTGTTATTCTACTGAAGGAGGCGAATTATCGATCGAGTATACTCAAACACAGGCACTTGTCTCAGATTTTTTTACTCATATACGACAATTGCCTGTGCATCCAACATTTAATTTAGCCTCGCAGTACATGCTATTGTGTGTATCAGGTAAAGTCAGGAAATCTGTCTTGATGACAGGTCTTATGTAGTCCCTGTTAAAAATGTCAGGACTCGGACCGAATTAGAGCTTGAAGTGTACGAGAAAAAGATAGTATAGTATACAGGATTTGTTATCTATCGGACCATTATTGTCGTTAAATTATTTCTCTTTGGTTTGATACAATCTAAGTTTATACCGATCAGTGTTGTGCAATCACTGCGTCTGTTTTTTTAAATTTTTTTGAGAGAGAGGGGTATCATTGACTCGCTTATTATCTATGAGTTTATTTATAGTTTCAGGCAATACTAAATTTGTTTGACACAAGGTCGTATCTTCCTGTTGTTACTGTGTGAAATTTCTATGAAGTACAGCAACCGATATTACAGATTAGATTGTAGGACCGAATGATTTTGTATCAGCAGTATAAAAGCTTCGAGCTTGCTTACAGTAACTCCATTGATATTATTTATCATTTTAGTGTTTTTGTAATCTATCAGACCATTTCTTGTACTGTTTTATTGTTATTTTATGTAGTCCCCTGATCCAGATTAAAAATGTGGGATGATTGAAATGTCATATAGTTAGTTCAACCCTGTACATCTCCATTCCTGTTCCACTTCAGGAACTTCGCCCGGGTTTTCTTATGGCATAGTAGTTTAACTTTTTTGGTAGTTGTTTTAAATTAGGTGTTGGTGGCAGATCTTTTTTTTTTTTTAATGAATTCAAAACTTGTATACAGACTGGGACGATTTAGAGCTCGACATATATTATATAAACACAACTGTCCTGTCGAATGTAGAAGGCTGTATGTTGCCGTTTAGATGTCGATGTTTATTGTCTTTGGGTTGTGGTCTCACTAACCATACCCTACATCTCAATTTACGTGTACAATAATTAAATTCAAAGGGTTAGTAACAACTGGGACTATAACGTTGACACAGAAAATATTCTCGCTCCACCAGACGTATTATCTCGAAATAAAAAACGGTCTACGGATTCCAAGAACCATGGTGTAGAACAGAGATTAGAATCTAGAACACCCTATCCAATGCCATCACCAGCGCTGGTTGTCTTGAATGTTTCAAGACCCACTTACATAAGGCGAACTAGACCACCATCCAGCAAGTTTTTAATTTCACTGTTTTAGTGTATATTGAATGTATAACACAGAGTCGTAGACTAGTCTTTTTCTTTTTAAATAATTTACATGCATATCCAAAAAATGACAGAATAATCAATTTATTGATGTTGGCCACGTAATGGCAGAAATAGAAGAAAGGGCCAGTTACTTGTACACTACTTCAACATTACCCAAGAGCAGATAAAAGACGGCCAATGTATAGCAAATCATCTAATAAATAAGTAATGGCCAGTCTGACTATACCCATCAACATCACCAAAGAGCAGAGTAATCATCAACTCTAATGATAACTATGGCGTCTTAATGTGAATGATAAACATTGGCAAGTAACTTGTATTACCAATACTTGCCATTGATCTTACTTACTTATATTCTCTGTATGATGGCATCTACTGTGAATTCTATTGCTAATAGTAATATGGTATTAGATTATATGTGACATTACCTATACACAGACTAACCATATACTGTGGATATCATTCATTATTCTAGTAGCTTAGAACGTATTAAGTCAGGGTTACAAGAAGAATTTTTTTCAAAGCTGATGTACATGGTATATACATGTACTAATTGTATTTTTGATATTTCATTGTAAATTGCGCAAACAGCTGCTGCTAGGTTTTTAGTCTGAGCTTTCATTTTCATGGTTATGCAGTGTCACATCCAAAATAGTGGGAAAAATATAAGTTTTATATGATTATCAATATGTGTTGCAAGTTTACAAAATATTAATGCTCTTGTTGCTGACAAATAAAATTTTAGAATTTCTTGCTTTACCATGTAAAATGGCACAAGCCTAGACACATTTCTTTTTTGGTAAATGTGTATCCACAGTTTGTTGTAAAAGGTAGTAATAGGACTGCACAAAATTGTGTCCATAATTTTCTAGCTCACTGAACCTGAAAAAGTGATAACTGACTGCAGTACAATCTTTAAACTGACAAGTGGTAGTAGAGCAAACATTAAAAGTTCACAAATGACAAACACCAAGGGATGACATTAGCTTATTTGGTCATTCATTTATGGCAAACACAAACAGATGACAATGGCTTATTTGGCCATTCATTCAAGCGAGGAAAGTCGAAAGCATGTTACAAGTAAACCCATCAATACTCTAAGGCCATATCATATCAAATTTTAGTTCTTTGCACTTGTCCACAAACAATTTTGTTGCAAGAATTTTTGAAAAAATCCCAAAATCCTCCACAAATATTATTTGCATTTGAAAAGATGTGAAATTAAGAAATAATCAACCCTTTCTTTTCCTCTGAATAGCAATGTTTCTTTAAAATCTATATTCATCACCATACGAGGCTATGATCTGCCTTTAGAATTTTCAGGAAAATAATCAATCTAAACTTTCCTTACACCCACATCTTTTGTTTCTCCAAAATCAAAGGAACTAAAAAATCAAACTTTGTGCAGCCTTACAGGGTTGGGTTTTTGACAGTAAATGAAAACAATGATATTATATATATATTTATTTTTTTGTGTTTATTTTGTCAGTTTTGTTACTGACCACATGTATTCATTCATACATAAAATAACAATATTAACTTAAACTACTCCACCAGAGGTTAAAAGTGTAGGAGTATCTTACTTAAAAACAACCATCTCTTTAATTTGGATTAAACTTAGCTTAATTTACCAGTAAGATTCTTTGGAATGTCATATTAAAATACTGAAAACAAGTAATATCATATAATCAAGACAGTAATATCACTGATGCTAATTCAGAGAGGTGACCAGTTAGTTAGTCAAAATACAATACTATTTTTTACCTAACCGCTTTACAATAAAAGCTGATTTACCTATTAATCTGTACCTTAATTAGTTCACACCGTGTTCTTTTTTGTCAATTGGAAGAGGAGCTCATTAGATTTCCTCTTACACGTAGAAATCAATGTTTTTGTATAACTTGTATTTGGGATGACTGTGTATTATCAACTTAAAGCTGATTCAATTAATTTGCTTAGTACATACCTGGTAAATAAAATTACACTTGGTTATATGTGAGATAATTTTCTGATCTTTTACACGTATTATACCATTTAAAATAAGTTATTTATATTAATAACCAAGATAGAAAGCATCCTTATCATCCTTTATCCAGTTAGTATGATAATTATTGATTAATAAAAAAAAACTTTCCTTGTCCTCTTTATAATGTTACCCAAGCATTTATACATGCTTTTTTATAAAATAATCTGTTATTGTAATTCAATGAATGAAGTATTGTGTGATGAATACCAGGTATAAAGTTTAGTTCCAGAAGCTCAATGGTACAACCTACATACAAATCTGGACTAGATAGTACTGCAAAAGTACACATGAACTTGTAATCATAAACATTCCACTAAACCAAGTCAAACTTAATCATTCCAGACGCCCCCCCCCCCCCCACCCTTTTGTGTACAAAAGTCCAACTCCTAAAGTTGCCTTGGTGGACTCACCTTTTCAAAATCCTGGATCCACAACTGATTGCCATTTTTTGTATGCAAAAGTACTCTAAAAAAGTACCCAGCAATCTTGAAATATTGATAATACCATTAGGAAACAATCTGGAGTGAAGCAATCCCCTACATTATTTAGGTAATTGTATAAATTTAGTTGTACCATACCTTGTAATTTTAATGAATTTTGTTTAGGTTACTACCATAACTCATGTAGGCAGTAATTTAAATATATATATATATGAATATATATATATGATAAAATTACTGTTGCTTAACAATTGTCATAGGCTGTGTCTTAAAAAAAAAACAAAAAACCTTTATACCTTAATATAAGGTATATATGATTTTTTTTCAGAGACATGTGCCTATGCTGTGGACTTGTAGTTCACTGTTCAAATCAATAAATTGTCTATCATATTTTTTCTATCAGAACATTGTAGGATATATTTCAAACACATAAACAAGAATTGTCACAATTTAATCAATTTTCCACTATTTTTTCATATCATATATCTCAACAAATCATACAGCAAAGAATTTATCAGCAAAATTTGGTAGGAATCAACAAGATATCAGATGAGTCTAGTATGGCATGTAACCTCTTCTTAACAGCCAGCAGCAAGATAATTCACAAGCAGACTGAATCTCAGTTTCAGAGGAAAAACTAATTTCTTTTTATAATTTTTCATTTATCCAAAATAAGTAAGAACAAACTTATCATTTGTTTTGACTACAAGTTCAAGTGGTTTTTATTAGCATTTCAGATCTCCTTCCTTTAAACATTTCCTTAATATCTCGATTATCAAGTTATGTTTCTTTAAAATTAAATCTATATAAAAAATAATGTGTCATATTTCAGATCTGTGTAATTAATTCAACATGTATCCTAACAATCCTGAACTAAATCTGTGTTGACATGACTTTTGCTAGTAAAGATCAAATTTAACAATCGAAAATGAATACAAGCTTGATATTAATGTATGCAAAAGTTATCCCTCTTTAATTGTTTTTCAGCACTTTAGATTTGAATGTAAAATGAAATATTTTGGTGTATTTTCTCTGTTAAAAGTCCTAGATTATACTGTATTGTCCAAAGAGAAGTATAAATTAGAAACAACAATAATTTCGCTCAGGATCGTAATATAGGACATTTCAATTACTATAGGAAATACTGAGTTATATGTTGGAAAACTAAAATTAGATATATTAAAAAAAAAGTTTTTTTACAATAGAAAATAAAAACACCAGTAATTTTAAAATTCAAATAAAATTTGGAGTCTTTTCAATGTCACATTTATAATATTTGTAAGTTTTAAGATACTGTTACCATTACAAAATTCACTAGTTATATATTTTCATCAATATGCATAAAATTATTTCTTGTTTCATATCATGTAAAATGTTCAATAAATGTATTTGTAATGGAAACAGTATTTCTACTTACTTTGTATTCATAATCTGCTTTTTGCAATACTGATGTGTTTACAAATGTGTAAAATGAAAAAAAAGCTTTAAAGCCATTCAGTAAAGCATTCAATTACATGCTAAAACAATTATAATCTCATTAAAGTATGTAAAATTAGTCTGAACAAAATTTATATTAGTATAAAATTATTGCAAGAATAATAATATTCAAATATTGCAACAGAACAGCATGAAATCTGTTTTTTTTTTAAATGTTCATATTTAGCACAGCTTTTTTCTGATCATGGAAAAAAGGTGTGCAACCACTGTTTTGGTACTGTCACCAAGTGCAGACCTCATTCCATGATAACATGTATCGAACAGCACAAACAAGACTCACAGTGAATTAAAATGGCCCAATGTCACATTGTGCAGAATAACCACCATCGAAGCACAAAACTTGCAACATTTAAACACATACAACCTGAATTTGGTGCTCCGTTATACTACCCTCACCTATTTGTTGGATTGTAATTCTGTGAGGATGGCGTTCTTGACTGATTATGAATTGGGTCACATTTCAATGGAGTCAATGGTTGATATTGAGTATGTTTCGTCGTGGTATGCACTGATTTAATAACACGTCCTCCTGAAGCTGTCTGCACTGAATATTGCACATGTGTACTTTGTGACTGATATTTAGGCATACTGGCACTTTGACTAGATGAATCATAATCTCCTTTCCTTGTCAAATAAGGGGATTGTGTTCGTACTGGCGTAGAATGATTTGAAGGTCCCATAGGATAGTGACTATGACCTGATGAAGATGACGAATGTGACGGACTGTAGTTAGGGTGTGGATATTTATATACAGAATTATGACCCGTTGACCCATCTCCACTATCAGTTGAATGTTGTGAAGGAGAACTACACCGCGATAATGAGTCACCTAATAATTGCTGCTGGTAGTTCTCAATCATTCTTTGTCTACGAATTTTTTCACTATATTTATAAAAGTCTGACATTTCAAATGGTTTAGATACTAGTTCTACACTACGATGAGGTTGCATTTTTGTAACAGTAACAACAGCACTAGAATTGGGAGATTCCACTCTTTTAGTCATTATACTACGTTCTATGTAAGGGCTTCCTCGCCCACCTTGTCTTTTTCCTTCATAGCTCCTAGGACTGTAACAATGAGGTTCATTGCCCTCACGATAGTCTTGATTGGGACTTTGTATAAGCGGAGATGGCTCAGTGTGAGCCACATCATTCCAACGACCATGATGTCGTCTATTATCTCCTTGTTCCTCGTGTCTAACTGGCAGCTCAATCAAATTACTTTTTTGTCCAGATAAATCATATTCTGACTGAGACGCTCTTTTACTACCATATTTAGAAGTGTCTATATCAGACAGATGACTTATGCTTGCATCACTATCACTATGTTGTCTATCACGAGGCTGCCATGTTTCATTTTTACGTCTTGAATTTCGTTCCAGACTACCATAGTTTTTTGGATTACCAGTCTTCCTGTAACTGCTATCTAAACTATTATGGTTTGCTGCTTTGTCCTCAAATACATTTTCTAAGCTCTCAGAGTAGTTTTTATTTGTAGGTGTTTTCAGCTGATCTGAACTTTCATAATGTGAAGTCTGTTGAGTAGTTAAATTATACATATTATTAGCTGAACTAAAGCCACTGTCCTGACTTCCAGTATAGTCTTTATGGTTGTTAACGTTTTCATACTCGGACTGATTTGACATATTACTTCCAGAAGAATGGCTTCTGTTGGTTAGAGGCGTGTACAGTTGGTTACTTGACTGTGATCCTCCACCACAATCTCGAAATAAAGAGGGACTAAAAAAAATATATGAAAAGTTCATAAATGATGTATGTTAGACGTATTTTGATAGTATACTACAAACACATAATCACACTTCTTATGCTTACTTAAAAATGTGAAACTGTTGTTTACCATCAAGGTATTACTATTTTATCTTAAATAGGCTACCATCATTCTGAGTTGTGAGTTGTAAAGAGTCTTTATGCCCATCTCATACAGTTATTAATTATTTGACTGCCTTATAGCCACAGTATCCAAATCCAAATCACATGTGTGTCAAAATTTTCAATCCATAAAAGGGAATCTTTTAATTCCAAACTAGATTTTATTTTGTCTCAACTACAGATTTCTTTACTTTCATACATTTACAATTGCTGAATAGTACATATGTTCCCAAATTTCAGCTCTGGAGATTTATTTTATGACTGGGGATTCACATGTCTGAGGATTTAGAGCTGGCTATATATATATATAGAGACCGGTCGATTGTTTAGGTTGGAGGTTAACCTCTTGATGTCTTGTTTTTTTGTTTCATTGGGTTGCTGTCTTATTGACATATACCCCACAATTCCTTTTATTCGTATGAATTGCAAGTAAATTCTTGAATCTATCCAAAAGTGCAACTGCAAAATCTTAATAAGTTTATATCAACTAGTTTTATTATCCCTTTAAAGAACAAAACATTGCATATAAACTATATTCCATACCTGCTTAATGTTGGACTTAAAGGTGGCCTACTTTCTGTTGGTGATAATTCTCTGACAGTGGCTGAGCGTTGCATTGGTACATGTACTACCTGACGACTAGGGGATTCCCTTGTAGATTTCTGTGAATGTGGATCATCATTGTCATTCATCTGTAACAGAAACTGAAGAATAACGTGGATGTTAGCATCCACTATAAAACTAAAGAAAGCTAACAGAAAAATAAGCAAACTACATGTAAACCATACAGCAGATGGAACTTCCATCATGGAAGGATCAGTATTATCTACTTTTTCATGTATTCAATTTGGTTACAGCTTACAGATTTTATATGATGGGTTTATACATCTATGATTACACTGTGCTATGAGCAGTTGGCTATTTCATTTTAAATAAAAAGTTTCTATCACATAGTAAAATTCCCAGAAAGCCAAATGTCCTTGACACAACAATTATTTTTTTCAAAAATTAATGTCAACAAAATCTGTGGAGATATGATGAAATGAACAAGGTGGCTACCTATTACAAAATGGGGGAAAAACATTCTGCTGTATAGTTTTAAACACATGCTGTCAGTAAAATGGAAATAAGCAGACAAAACATGCAAAAAGGTGCTTAAAAATTATTTTTTAACATAACTAATGCTCAATCAATGAAATTTGCCATACTACTGTGTGAAACTTTTGAGATATTTTTGTATGTTAGTTTTTTAAGAGGGAATAGCATTATCATGACTTGTATAGAGATAACAGATTTATAGTGGTGAAATAATCAAAAAGATGTTGTGTGCAGTTTTACTTCTATTTTGTTAGCAAAGTGAAAGTTAGATAACATGAAAATCCAATCATGCACTGTAATAACTGTAATAACTGTAATAACTGCATATAAACTGACTTATTATCAACATGGCTAGTGTCACACTATCTTTATTCTTATTTTATTACTTCAGTTTTCTACAATATATTGATTAGTTTTGATGTATTTACTTTTTCCTTTGAAAATAGTTATCAGATAGGTTTTGAAATGTGTATAACTATATTCAAGTATTTTATATTATAAAATACTTAATAAAACTATTATCATATAACATGCATTTAGCTTCTGAGAACTTTTATTCCATTAATACTTACAAAGCTTTGGTTTCTGGCCATACCAGATTTGTATTTTCCTGCAAATAAAAAAGTGAAATTTCATATTAATCACTACAGTCAATATAACTGTTAGATATTTATGGTTATGGTATAAACTATTCAAAAATATCATCTGTTGCATGGTGCTGCTAACAGAAAGATATGTCAAGTAAAGACACATTTTTACAGTTACAATTTAATTGGAATTAAAGCATCAGAACTTGTAAATTTTTGTAATAACTAAATGCAAACATGCAACATGCCAGATGTTCTCATTACAACATAACATGAGTTGTCGTTTGTAAAAAAAGAAAGAAAAAATAAGATTTGTCTACCATTTTGAAGCCTGATATACAACTGTAATTTTTGTATTTCCTGTTTTGAAGCGAATATCTGAAAAAATTTGCCTGGACATTTGTATCTACCTGTACCTATTTTTAAACTGCTTCCTTAATAAACAAAATTCACAAATGGTTCAATAACATGTATTTAAGTCTATAGCAATGAACAGATCATTCCATTCAGCTCATATTTTTTAATGTTAAATCATATTAAAAGGCACCAAATGGATGACCATAAATGTCTATATTCAGCAGTTTTTAATGTTATAACAAAACCTTACATTTTCAGAGGAAGAGCTACTTTTGTTCACAAGCACTAGACACTTGACTTGTTTTGTATCCAGAAATAAAAAAGTTAACTTCAATATGAACTAGAGTCTGAAAGCCTGTGTAGATCACATGGGTCTATATCCATATTCAACAATGGTCACTTTCTAACATAATAGACTAGAATATAATACATGACAAATTCTCTTTTTTTTTTTGTTGATCTTGTATTGCTGATCATTTTTGCTGTTAACAGTTTCTTTCTACTATGGTTTTTGTGCAAAATGCAAACAAGTAGTAAAATATCATAATTTAACAGCTATTACTCCAAGTAGAAATGGACTGACCATTTCCACTATGTTGTATTTTTATAGATTTTGTCTTGCTGATCATTTATGCCGTTTACAGTTTCTCTCAATCTTCTATAGTTTTGGCCCAAATGCAAAAATAGAGAAAAAATAATCATCATCTAAGAGCAATAACTCTCATAAGAAGTGGACTGACAATTTCAGCTATGTCTATTTATTTGCAGATTTTGTTTTGCTGATCTTTTTTGCTGTTTACAGTTTCTCTCTATCTTCTATAATTTTTACCCAAAATCAAAAAGTGGATAAATATTGTCATTTAAGGGTATTACCACCTATAAGGAGTTGTCTGACAATTTTGGTCAAATGAACAGTAGGTAGATCTTGATATTTTGATAATTTCTGCCCCTGTTAGATTTTCTCTTTTTAAATTGGTTTTAAAGATAAAAGACAGTATTGGCATTTTACCCATGTGTTCTATATTTTGCTATGGCAGCCATGTTGGTTGACAGGAAGATCATCGTGACAAATGTTCAAATGTTTCAAACTAGATATCCCAAGGTTGATTGTGACTAGATTTGAATCCAATTACCCAAATAGTTTTAGAGCAGAACATTTTTGTTAAAATTAACAGATGATCATGATGACAGATGCTGGCAAATGCAAAGTGATGGCAATGGCTCACTTTGGACAATTTGGGTCAGGTGAGCTACTTAAAGGAGATATGGGTGTCAGTCAATGAAACAGCAACCTAACTAAACCATCATCCAAAAGACACCTAGAGGAAAACATATAGTCAGGAGACTACTGCAACAATTCTTATTCAAAAAGGGTATCCTAATATCAAAGTTATGTCAAAAATGTGACAGTTAAAAGGATATTAACATTTCTCTATAGTTGCATTCTAGTTATTAAGAAGTTCCAACTGAGAGACTATGGAATCTTTTTAAATAAAGGTAATTAAGAAGTGCATAACATCAAATAGAAATGCATTTTCCTGTAATTAAGAGTAAATTGTTCCAATCTATCAGTTACCAGAAGATCTTATCTGATTTTTCGATGCAGGATTGAATGTGTTTTGTATGCAATTAAACAAGGATTAGTCATTGCCTATGTGTGTGTGTGGTAATAAATCTTATTTAATTATCTGTTTAAGCATCTCCTCATCAACATGCACATGGATAAACTTTGTTTGGGGTTAAGTTATAGTAAAATCATGTGACTCAGAGAACAGATTTTGAATATGAATTATGATGATAGGTAGAGTTTACAATAAGTTTCAGTAAAGATGGTTTTACTGTAATTTGAGTCATAGGGTGAATTGTACTTTTCAGTTGAGTGTAGAAAATCTGATTTTAAATGTTATAAATGGAGCATATCCCATGCATGATGCAATATTGTTCACCTATAACACAATTACAAATGGATCATAAAAAAAACTTGTATAACAATGTGACATTCATATTATAAAAGTCATGAATTGTAAAGTAACACTCTAATTCATTATGATTAAAAGGCCTAGTTTGTTTACATTGTGCAGCTTCCATCTTTTCAAGGAAAAAAAGAACTGCAGATATTTTCCTTGAACCATACAAAACATAAAAGGAATAAATATAAGGAAACAATTTTGTTGTCAAGGTTCAAATATCAATGCTATTAATTTTTTTTTTAATCACTTGGATATCATATGTAACATTATTGATAAAGCTGATGTTTTGGAAAAGAAATAGCTGTAATCTCAATGCATCTTATTAAAAAAATTGGTCTCATAATTGACTGTTTGAAATGCATACCAGGTGCCAGCTGATTCAGAATGAGGTCATGATTCAGGATGTTAATTTCACAGTAGGATGTTCCTACTCGTCCAGATAAGATCAACACTTTATAAAGCAGGTGTGAAAAGAACTTTAAAAAGCTTCAAGGTTGAGATTTCCTTTATGTTGCATGTTATTATCATGTTGAAATGCATAACTTTTATTGAAGATCACATGTTGTCCAATTGAAATCATAAAACCATATTACACAGGTTCTTGGCAGCTTCTTGATTAACCAAGTGCATTATTGCCTGATGTTTCAAACACAGTGACTACAAGGAAACTTTGAAACAGGGTCTTGAGAAAAGAGAGCTTCAACCAAGCTTTATTAAATTAAATTAACCAAGAAAGGGGAAGGTGATGTTCTGACCCAATAACTTCTCCAATGACTATGAACCACATTATTTACCTATAATCCTGGAAAATCACAGACACACTAAACAATAAAACCTTTCAATATACACCAACTTGACATGTTTGAACTTTTTTTCATAGCTCATTTTTAATTGGTAAATTAATTTCTGGAATACTTAAGTTCCAACTTCCAAGATAGTCTGTTTTTTCATGACTGATTTCATTTACACACATCTATGTTGTCTGCATGAGAACATCAGTTTATGTTGAAGTCACCTGAAGGTAGGTTTAAAGCAGGATGAAGGAGTCAAGCTAAAAGAGTGTGGTCAAATTTTTTAATTGTAAATCTATTGAAATCATGACATTTTCTCAATTGTCCACTGTGAAACACTAGGTGGATTGTTTAGAAAAATGTCACATGATACAACTTTTTCAACCCACACATTGAAATAACTATCCCAGAACTCTCATTTAAGTTCATGTTGGGATAGTGACCATGAACTTTACTATGACCTTTATACTGTGAGCTATATGTGAATGGTGATGATTAGATGTATCAGCAGCTATGTGATATTTAGGGAAGTGAATTATTGCACAGTAAACTGTAATGTCAACAATGGAGTTGAAAATGATGAATACTTCTTGGTTTTTTTATGAGTATCTAGCACCAAACCAGATGGTCTAATGAATATATATATATAAAAATACAGGAATATGTTTGAATATGTAAGCAAAGATGGAAGAAAGAACAAAGATATACTATGAATATATAAAATGTTTATTAATAGAAAGACAGTAGAAAAACTAAATGGAGAGATGACATACATATACAAAATATGATTCAAAGTTGTTGTTCAATTATTTGGTCCCTGTTCATTAAAACTGTGATGGATAAAATCATCAGTGTATAAAAAATCACAATAATAAAATAATGATGAAACCTTATGATCTGATACTGTTGATTAAAACATGAAGCAAATTTCAAAAAACAAAATTGAGCACTAAAATATCTAAGGTTCATTCAGGGAGAAACTTTGGTGAATTAAAACACTTTTGATGAAATTTGGTATGTAGCAAAAACATCAAGTGATTCTATGGTCTAAAACTTTGAATCATATCTAATTACAAGCACTGAAAATATCAAGGATTAACTATCCATGATATTTAGCAAACTTCACCACATGCAAACAAACAAACACATACAAACAACCATTCATGCAGACACAAGCATAACTAACAAGCAAACAAACATGCATATACACACACAAACATTTAAGACAGGATGTGAAGTACATACACAAGCAAGTATATAATAAGCAGATACACAAGTACAAACTAGCAGACATACAAAGCAAAGCAAGTTATGCATGATAATGAGTGTCTTCCATGATGAAGAGTTATCTCCCATGAAGTTTTTCTGATTATCTTTCTTGGCACTATTGGAGTATTTTATCAATAAATTAGTATTAGCACATTATTCACAGTTCATAACGAAATTGCACAAATTGACTAGACACGGCTTTCCGTTGATGGATGACTGGATTTCTGGAACTTGTAGTGATGCCATGATGCACGATGCGAAACAGTAATGTCATGTGGGTCTGCAACGGTAGCATTAAACAACACTGTAGAGTCCAACATTGATGTATCAAACTGACGCTTGGCTACCATGTCATGGAAAGACTTATTTAACTTACTTTTAACTGAATACCTGTCCCTGAAAGACTTATACAAACGACTAGTGAAGGATGACTTAACACGGCGACCGTCACGGATAGACATGTCGTCAAGGAAGGCATTGGAGAGACACTGGTCAAGTTCACACTCGTCTAAACTCTTGTTAACACAGTACGTACCATCGAGTGGAAGGGTAGAGTCACCTCCCTTACCATCGGCTAACTTCTTCTCCATCTCTCTCAACTGAAATACAAAACATCTAATTAATGATATGAAATAACACTTTCAATTACAAATAGTCATTAATAAAATTTCCTTATGGTGATAAAATATCACGAAAAAATGCATTAGTTAGTTTTATATCTTTACACTTTTGAAATAACAGCTATTGAGAACCCTACAAATTTATGTGTTTATATTACATTAAAATATTGTCTTTCCTAAACATAACAAGAACAATACTGTACATTGTATGATTCTTTAAAAACAATTATTTTGTAAGTACATTATATTCAAATTTATATGACTACAAAATTTAAACATAGTATTTATGTGTAAACAACATACACGAACATATGGTTGTCAATTATTTTTCTATCAATCAATGTTTGTCAGTTACTTTTCTATCAATCAATGTTTGTCAGTTACTTCTCTATCAATCCATGTTTGTCAGTTATTTTTAATCAATCATGGATACTAAGTATGTCCATGCTACCTTTGAAATTATATTCCAATAATTATATCAAATTTTGCATTTAACAGTGAATATATCTAAACTGCTTAAACATACCTTTTTCTCTGCTCTGTGGAATGAATGACGTCTCTGTTTACGAACATACTTGCTGACAGACTTGTCTTGAGAGAGACGGTTTGCTGCCTGGGTGATCTGTTTCTGCAACTCATACTCAAGCTCTAGCTTGGACAAGGACTCAGCCTAAAAAAGTAAGTTTCATATTACAAAAAAGAACAATACAAAATGATTATAACCATAAACCTTCAGCTTCTAATTCATATTTGACATATCATTACATCTATAAATAAAATTATGCTTATGAAATATTTCATGTATATGGCAAAAAGATCTAAGACTCTTTTAACTTTTTAAAGATTATACACATTTTTCTACAAATACTTTCAACTATCTGTTAGATAAGCATTTACAAGTAAATATGGGTTTTGCTCATAGTTAAAGGTTGTAACAGGACCTATAGTTGCTTACATCAACATTATTTGTTGCATAGTTGTCACATTGTCAATCATACCACATCTCCTTATTTTCATATGGTTGTACAACACTATATAAAATCTATGATTGTTCCATGTAATGTTATGAATAGACATTGAATGTTGGAGACTTCATGTATCATAAAGCAAACAATATACTTTGCACTATATACAAGTATAAGACTGTTCATCTATAGTAAGTATAAATATCAATACATACCTGGTCATCTTGGACTTTTGAGGCTAGTGAGAATGCTGTACCGACACGGCGTCTGATGGCAGGAGGCTGTTCCCCTGAGGCAAGGGGATATTCTCTGGGTAACCTGCCTGTCAATTCCTGAAAAATGAAGTAAAACATTAGTAAATATATAATCATTTCATAAATATGGGAATACTCCCTAACTAAATCAGCTACAATTACAATGATATAAATCTTACTTCAAAACAAATATTTTTTTACAATAACTGAGGAAAGATATGGTGTATTGATCTATGACAAAAATTCTCTTCATAAATCTCAAACAAAAGGAACAGTGCATACATATTTGATATCATAAAGCTTCTACACATACAGCACATTTTAATTAATTAACATTAAACCTATTGAAATGTTACTGGAAAACTATGTGGATGTTACATTTAATTGTTGCTCACTGTTGAAGATTTTAGCATACAATATTATGAATTCTAATTTGGAATTAGTTATACAATAGTTAATAATGCATTAAGTGCAAACATAAGGTTTATTCTTCTTTAACATTAAATATTCATTATTTTACAAGACTGCTCTACTTGAATAAGTATAATTTCAAAGTACCTCATCATGTTCAACTTTAACTGATAACCTATTTCATTCTTAAATAATAACTTACCCCTTCTTGCATACATAGCAACTTGAGTTCCTCTGTCTTCTTGCGTAGCTTCTCGTCTAGAGCTTCTTTTCTGGCTTTTAGTGCTTCAAACATCTCTCTTTGAGCTTTGATGGCGTCAAGGTGGTCTAGATTTACTGGAAAGAAAAAAGAAAACATTTAGTAACAATGTAAAACATAAATTTCTCATTCTGTCATTAGAGCTGTGATTATTTCAAAATGAGTTACTTCAAATTTTTACCTGTCGAGATGAAATCTGACATTAAACAATCATGTAAAAATTCTACAAATTTCTCAATCTGTCAACTGTTGTCTTACACAATAGTTTGTGGTTACCAACTGCACTGTTATGTAATTAAGATTAATCAATAATGAATTTTATGTTTCACCTTTTATGTAAACATTACAAAAAAGTTTATAAAATAAAACTCAGTGATAAAAATATTTGAAAACAGTTTTATTTCATATTGAATTATTTTAGTTATTAGTTATTAGTTTACTAACTTGAAATAATTAAAATATACAATTTTCAATGTAATCATGATTTCTTTTTAACTTACAACTTCTAAACCAATGGATATAACACTTTCTCCCCATCCAGAATTTATAACAACAAAGTGATGTATAAGTGAGTAATGTCTCTATCTAATCTGGTAAGAAATTTAATTTCCTCACTCTAAATTAAGAATCTCTCTTGTGATAAAGATCTCTAACCAACCAAAAAGAAGTAGAAAACAGTTGCCCCAAACACGTAATAATCTTATCAGTTAAACCAGATATTCTAATATTATCAATTAAATCATATGATGATACTATGATTAGCTGTTTACATCAAAGGACCTTGATAATCCATACTTCTTATGAACTTATAATAATTTAGTCTAGACAAGGTTTACAATTATGCCTTTGGAATAATCATGAAGTATTTTTTGTTAATCCTGTTTTCAGTATTTTCTAAATTGATCAAACAAGCTGTGATATTTTGATAAGACTGCTTTGGGGTCAAAGGACAAAGTGTTAAAGTTGTAACGTTATTAACTGGATTAACAAGATTTCCTGATATCAATGCTCTTTACTTTGATAATATACAATTCCTTGATAATATATGGAATTGGAATATATAATGTATTAAGTACATATGCAATATAAATGTATTCGTAGTATAAAAAATAATTAAAAACAACTGTAATGCAAAGCAAATAATTTTAAATACATATGTCAGTAAAGAATAAACTTATATGTAATTGAATTAACAAATGTCATGAGAATGATAAATTATACAGTATGATGGTAATTGTCATTCTGTGGCATCATATTATATAATTCCCTTATAATATGTCATAGTTTAACAAACATTTTACAATATAACGATTCCTGTGATATTTACTAGTTTTTTAATGTTTTGCTTATATTTGAAATACAAAATGTAGAGATACATAGTTTTAAATGTCTGATGTTTAAATAAAATAAAATATTGATAGTATCCTTAAAAAAATATTTTCTTTGCATCACATGTGGAGAAAAAAAATTTCAATTTCATTTTAAGTACTCAATCTTATCAACAGTTTGAAATAGTATATACTTAGCAACAAAAAAAATGAATCTAACTATTATACAATGAAATCACTATAAACTAAAGAATAATAATATTGAACTTACTAGTATAATTACTGTTAAACATAACTGAAGTATCAAAGATGGTAGAATCCAATGTAATATCCATGTTAAATGAACTAGGCAAGCTCATTCTCAAAGTCGTAATCACTTCAAACTAACTCAAAAACTAAACTTTCTACTAGATACTCAAAATGTCACTCTAAACTGCCACTAAGTACTTTCACCTTTTTGTCCAGTACTAAATTATTTTGAGTTACTCAAAATTAACAATAGCTTTTCCTTTCATGTCATTATGGCCATATGCACAAACACAAGCTATTGACAATTTCTCAAAATATTTCTAACTGTCCTGAACAAACAAATGTTTATGATCTACTAAGATCCCAAGCTGACTGATCAAGCTTACATACAAATCCACTGCTTATATTCAATACCTATGTAAACAATTGTCACCTCTGATGACCTTAATGAGGTGTGTTGACCTCATTATCATATTTGTTGCAGGTGAGTTAATGAGTTTAATTAAGTAGTTAATTGACCACTGATTAGTTTACAAAGGTTCCCTAATGACCTGAGGACAGAACTTTTGTAATCCCATAATTATTACAAATTGCTTGTCTTTTGTGTTCACAGATTTTTTATAATAAATTGAGGATTTTTTACTTTAATGATTGTGGGTCTATTGTTTAGGGTGTTAAGTTAAAAGAATACTACATGATCAATGTTGTTAACTGAAGTGAAATTTACACTTTTACTTGATAAATTGAATGATATAATTTTACACCAAAGAAATGTTACATTATGTAAAAAAATCCATTAATTACATAATATAAAAGACATGTATTGAATATTCAATCCACTATTAATTCTATAAAATATAATAACAGTGGTCCATTATCATTTATTAATATTTGTTCATTTAATTATATTTCCTTACTGTTCATTTAAACATAATACTTTTGCTGCAAATGATAGTGTTTGCATCTAACACAAAATAACTTTTTAAATATTATATATGTATTATTGTGATACATGTATATTTTTGTACCTGATTGATCTACTTAAAAAGGAGGTTTTTCCTCAGTTAGGAATATGCAAAAAATAATTGGTAATTGGACTTTACTTACTACAAATTAAATGCATACACTAGCAGCTAGAAATAATTGTTCCTAATAGTGCATTTTCTTTTAATTGATTGATTGTTGGTTGCTTATCATCCAATGGTAAGTATTTCAAGCACGTCAATTTTGTTTAAAAAAAAATATATATCTTTATTTTCAGTATTACTATTGCCTCAGATTATCTTTTCGGATATTTATTGCCTAGAAACATTTAAAGGGTTACTCTTTTACTTCCTTATTTGTAATATTTCCTGTTATATTCATAAAAATATAGAGTACGGTGTAGGTGGCTAACTGTTTGCTTAATGTCCAGTTGCAAATATTACTTCCTTTTTAGGATGAAGGGAACAGAGGCACATAAACCACTGAGAAAATGGAACCCTATAATTCTAAGAAGACACTTATGCTAAACATTCTAAAAGTCAGTATGTCACAGTCATAAAGATGGGAAACAACCCACACAACAACTTCAATAAAATATGTTCAAAATAGCCCATCACAAAAATGAATTGACATAGAGGAAATCTTGGATTATAGTTAAGGTTTAATCTGAAAGTTACTTATTACTAAATGATTAACAATTATTAATTAGCTATCAGTGTCCATCATTTCACATTTAACTGAGACATTCTCATATGAATGTTTTATACATAGGAGCTGATAAAATAACTATACAAAACCTATATTACACTTATAATCAAATATGCTCATCTTCTGTGGTGACAAGGACAGGAATGTCAAAATGTGGCAATATTTTTGACAATTTTACAAAATGTTTGATACTTTGTAGTGTAAATCTAATGATAACATTTGTGTAATTTGGAAAAAATTCTACAGGACTATTACTCGTTGTCTAGTCTCATATTCTACATTTTAGCAATACTTTGATTAAGCTCACATAACAGGAACCAATGTTTCACTTTAAATGAGTAGGACTGTTGTTTAACTTTGGCAACAATGTAACTGGATTCAGAATCTGTTAATGCAGCTTAAGGAACATATGATAATTGAATTTATTTGGAACCCTTACTAAGGTTTATCAACTTCTTAGTGGCAATCCTCTTAAAAAGACATACACAGACATTCCATTGTGGCTACGCAAAGCACTACATTCCTTTCATTTTCAGAAATTTATCTTTGTCTTTTGATTAATAAGCTTATTGATAATTCATCCTCATAAAATATTGCTTCATTTTTTATATTCCCATTGGAAGCATTAGTTCCGTTTTTGTTTAGTTTATATATAAAATTCATTTATTCTTTTTAATATTTACTTTTCATTATGCATGTTGATGTATGTATACATAATGATTAATACAATTCAATATGTTATAAGGACTATATGAACTGTGTTATACTGCAGCCGGTTGTACGAACGTGTCATTAGGCTAATGAGTCATTAAGTCTTCATTAGCCTAATGCATCATAAAGGCTTAATGAAGACTTAATGACCCATTAGGCTAATGCAACGTTCATACAACCGGCTGCTGGTCTATATAAGGTTACATGAACAATACTGTTTTAAGGTTAATAATGGTGGCTATTGATAATGTTCATACAGTTAACTTATTAAGTTTCATAGTCTTATAAAGATGTAATTAAATCTAATGAAAGTCTCTTTAATTCAAAATTGGTAGAATGATTTCAAGTATGCTTAGTGTATTGTCTTATGGACAGTTCCATTTTGCCGTAGGCATTGACAATTTTTCTTTAGATTTATTTTCAATCAAATTATTTCAAATGAAAATATGAATTGTTTAAAATCTCTTCATTTTAAAAGCATATGACACGAATTTAAAGATTTCTTTTTTTAAACAAGGAATAACACCCCATTTACACATTTTTTCTGAAAACCTGTTTGAGTAATGGGTTTTTAAAAGCCAATTTACACTTCCAAGAATTATCAATGGTTTCTTACATGCTATGAATGATGTGAAGTGTTAATTCAATTCCACCTTTCTCATTACTAGTTTGTTTCAGGTGATACTTTTATCAATAATTGTTAAAGTATTCTCATTCTTTTTCAACTGTTGACACCAAATAAGGTAATGTTTAAAAATTATTTTGTTACTTCCCAAGAATAACCCATCTGCATTTTGGAAAATAAAAATCTATAAAAGGAATGTTTTTTCCACTGTGATAAAGTTTTTACTTTTAAACAGATACTATGAAGAAAAACATTTAAAAAGACTTAAAATTGCTGAGTATTTTGAAAAAAAGACCTGTCATGTTAATCTCTATCTTTTAAATTTTCCATAGAGCTTCATCAAAATGATTCCATTTAGACTTAATTCAAGTGTAAGACTTCCAAATATTCCTGGAATGAAGAAATATAAAGTATCAATCAATATCAACTTACTATCAAATCTTGATCCTGACAAGTTTGGAAGACTTGATGAACTGGCACTGCGACTTATGTCAGAAAATGAACCTGGTAGAGATGAGGAACTTTTGTTACTACAAGTTAAGTCTGCAGCGATTTCACTGGAACTTCTCACTGTGTGTAAACTACTCTGTAAAATAAAACTAAATATTATAAATGAATGATCTCCCTTACTATGTTACAACTGTATTTGTCTTTTTCAGAGTTGTAAGGTCTAATCACCTATTTTTTAGACTTCAATCGAAAGAACGATTGAAATATATAAAACATTAATTTCAAATGAATATAGACAAAAAAAGAACTGTAAAAGTGACGCTACCTAAATTTGTACTTGATCTGAGTTTTGTGGTAATAAGTATTGTGTATAAGTTTCATAACATTTGGTTGAGGAAAACTGAAGTTAGAGAAAGGAAACGAAAAATTCAGCAATTTTTCCATTAGTAAAGGGGCATAACTCTAGAACATTTAAAGTGAGACCACCAAAATTCAAACTTGATCTGTGTTTTGTGGTAATAAGCATTGTGTATAAGTTTCATAACATTTGGTTGAGGCAAACTAAAGTTAGAGAACGGAAACAAATTCAGCAATTTTTCCATTTGTAAAGGGACATAACTCTAGAACGGTTAAAGTGACGCCACCAAAATTCAAACTTGATCTGTGTTTTGTGGTAATGAGCATTGTGTATAAGTTTCATAACATTTGGTTGAGGCAAACTAAAGTTAGAGAACGGAAACCAATTTTGGGACTTACGGCGGGGGCATAAAAATGAATACGTTCATTCTATAGTATGATGTTTTTAAAATGTTGGAATTTTTGTTCAAACTATCACATCCAGAGAACAATATGACCACAGTTCCTGAACTAGGTTGAAGTCATACAGCATGAGAAACTTCAGTATGCTATTAACATCTGCAGCTGATATCAAAGTTCAACTGCATTTAAAAGATCATAAGAATGAATGTCAACATATCCTCATCTCATTCTGATAGAAACTTAGTAAGTATACCTTGCTATGTTTTCTGTCTAAGTAAAACTGATGTTGAGCTACAGCCATGGACCAGATACATTTTGTAAGCTGAGAAGTACAACCAAACCAAGCATGGACTGCAACGTTTCCAGGACCGAAAGTTCTACGACTTACAGATACTCTGAAAAAAATATCAATTTTAATAAATCAATGTTGCTTTATACAAAGTTTATAGTTCTAGTATGATATTCTTAATGCATTTCAATTAAGTTCAAAGACAGCAAATAAATATCTTTATTTTATGGTTTCAATTAAAACATATGGCTTTATGCAATTATTTCGCAACTCAGTCAGCATTTTCAGGAAAATAAAAGTGCCTAAAGCGATTATATTCTGATTTAATAAAGAATTGTAAAATGGAAATCAACTTTTAAATATATTTCAATTAAACTAGTTATGCACTTTATCTTTCAATTTTTTATTTTGTTTTACAATATTCCAAATATTCATGCATGTTAATGGTGGTCTGATTATATAGTTTTCGTTTAGTTTCACCTTTCTAATTCCAAATATTTTAGTACAGTACAATCTATAAACGGGGCATCTTTTTACAGGAAAAAGGGTATTAAATCTTGACAATTGTAAAATTTGTGAAATTGTGGTTATATAACCAAGGAAAATTGAAAAAAAAGTTAAAAAAAATTTAATAAAGACAGCAAGAAAAAGTAGAAAAAAATAAGTGAAATAATAATTTCAAGATTTATGACTACCTGGGTACACTACTTAACATGCACTCCAATTTCTTTCTCCTTTCCCTTAAGATATATAAAGCACTGTATAAACATAAGTATATACAATATATAAAGCTGATTCTGTTTACAGTAAAACACATGAGAAGCTGTGTTCTACACACATGTGATGGCCATCAAGTCATTTTGTTGCATTAAAAAATCCTTCTTATAAATGTTCCAAGTATAAATTGACAATGAAAGATCACATGTATGTTTTAAGCTTTAATTAATTGTGAAGATTATGAGTGCCAAAATAAAACTATACATAGAGTTTTTTATGTCCACTGGATCAACATAGCTGGAAGATCTCCATCGGTTATAATACCTGAAAATTTTGTCAACAAAAATTACAAGCTTGAACAATATATCAACAAAGGTGACATATAAAGATACTAGGACTGATATACTGCAGCCAACAAAAAGCTTCAAGCAAAACAGCATACCCAAACATAAATGATGAGGATGATTTAATAATAATGGCAACTAATGAGAAACCATGCAGGATAACAAAAAACATGCCTAGAGTTATTTCCCCTGAAATACAAAAAAAAAAATTTTTCAAAAGATATTTCTAGTTTCTTTACAAAAGAGGTTTCATTTAGAAAGAAAAGCATCATCAGATAGCACATGGCACATTGACTGATACAAGCAGTCTCTGCATATCTATCTACTACACATCAGATATTATCTTAGATTGAAGCTATTGTGAATACTAAGCAGCTGTGACAATTTCTGTACAGGGAATAAATATCCAGTACGACATGAACAAAGCTATGTTTTTCAGTTAATATATACAAAAAGGTAAGAATGAAAGCTTAAGACTATGACAACAGAAACAAGACCTAAGATTCAATAAGTATGACTTTACAGATGACACGATAATTACTTACTGTGTACTAGGGTCTACAATGGCATCAGAGAGTTCGTCCCCCTCGTCGACAGGTTCTCTGATCGCGTCCTCATACAAGTTGTAACTGCTTAATGTTTGTATGACACTACAACACCAACAACCATGCGTTACACAGTCATCTTTAACTTAGTCTTTTCAAACTTCAAATTTCAAATTCTTACATTTATTTTCATAAACTTTAAAAAAAAAAACCTGTTTATTAAAATTATGAATAAGAAAGCACCATTTAATTTTTTCTATACAACATACATATAATTCATTTCAGAAAGGTTCATAAAAAAAACCCCAAAAAAACTATTTATAACTTAACTCTTTCTGTCATTTCGGCTTATCAACCAATATAGCAATTGTAAACAAATAAAATACAAATCTTTACAAATCATTTAAATATGAAACTTTAATTTGAAAAGACTAATTCATCAATACTGGATATGTGTTAAAATGGTGTGTATCATGTTAAAAGAAGCTACAGAGTTTATGAAAGTACAAAGATTTCTAAATAACTTGTATTAAAATCTATCTGACACCAAGTTAAAATGAAAAGTCTTTAAGATGTCTTTAACAGATGAAATAAATTATTTCTGTTTCATAAAGCTACTAATAAGAGAGATATCAACTGCTTGTCATCAATTTTCAATCATCACTATTACAGTTCAAAAGAATCTTTATGGATGGCAAAATTCTAATTTTGTTAACTATTCAGAATATCTGGTAAATAAACTTGTGCTAAGAATGTCTTCATAAACAATTTGAAATAAATGTGGATAGTGTCCACATGTGGACACAGATGATGCCCCCGCTTGCATATCATATAGTTATAAAGGGACATAACTGAAGAACGGTAAAAGTGACGCTAATCAAATTTGAACTTGATCTGAGTTTTGTGGTAATAAGCATTGTGTGTAAGTCTCATAACATTTGGTTGAGGCTAACTTAAGTAGAGAACAGAAACTAAAAATTCAGCAATTTTTCTATTTGTAAACACGCATAACTCTAGAACGGTTGTGTATAAGTTTTACAACATTTGGTTGAGACAAACTAAAAAATTCAGCAATTTTTATGTTTATAAAGGGACATAACTCTAGAATGGTAAAAGTGTTGCCACCTAATTTCGTACTTAATCTGTATTATGTAGTAATAAGCATTGTGTATAAGTTTCATAACATTTGGTTGAGGCAAACTCAAGTTAGAGAACTGAAACAAAAAAATTGTACTTGATCCTTACTGAGTTTTGTGGTAATGAATATTGTGTATAGGTTTCATAATGTTTGGCTGGGGAAAACTTCAGTTACAGAATGGAAACTAAAAAATTTTGCAATCTTTCTATTTATAAAGGGGCATAACTCAATAATGGTTAAAGTGACACTACCCAAATTCAACTTGATCTGTGTTTTATCAGTGGAAGTCAAAATTAAACATTGCATTGTATAAAGCAATGATTGTAGTTGATTCAACTATAATCATGGTCAAAGGAAGATAACTCCAATTTTAAAAATATATTATATAAACTTGATATTAAGAAGAAAATAAAAATTTTGCAATTTTTCCTTTTATAAAGGGGCATAACTCTAGATCGGTAAAAGTGACACCACCAAAATTCAAACTTGATCTGTGTTTTGTGGTAATAAGCATTGTGTATAAGTTTCATAACATTTGGTTGAGGCAAACTTAAGTTAGAGAACGGAAACTAAGATTTTGCAATATTTCCTTTTATAAAGGGGCATAACTCTAGATCGGTTAAAGTGACGCCACCAAAATTCAAACTTGATCTGTGTTTTGTGGTAATAAGCATTGTGTATAAGTTTCATAACATTTGGTTGAGGCAAACTGAAGTTAGAGAACGGAAACCAATTTCGGGACGTACATACGTACGTACGTACGTACAGACGGACAAGGGTAAAACTTAATGCCCCCTCCGCTACGGCGGGGGCATAAAAATAAGAGGAAAAAAAGATCAGTTATTAGCAAAAGCTTTTATGCATTGTAAAAGTTGTTTAAAAAACAGACTGGCAAGGTAACACATAGAATACTGGCAATGCAAAAAAGCAATGTCATTAAAAGGGGATGTCAAACAATTGCAAAGAAAAAATGCCATCAAAGGTTCAAAGGCAGAAAGTAGCAAGCACTCAGCAGAGTAACGTATTTCTGTTTTAACGAAAGCAAACAATATGTGCCTTAAGCTAATCATAGCTCTGTTATATAAGCAATCGGGACAAATACAAGATTTAATGATAGTTCAGTATGAGCTAGAAAATAGAAAAAAAATATAGAAATTTGCTTCCTTTATATGAATAAATTCATGAAAAATCTTCACCTAATGAAAAAGCATTCAACATGCTCTTTGAAAATAAAATTTACAACAGATGTATAATGATGCAAAAGAAAACATAAACTAAAACAAACTAAACGTGAACTGAGAGAAATGGCTAGTTATTAGAAAAGAAAATACAAATGAATGTGAGATGAATCTTACCGTTTAGGATCATGAACCTCTATTGAGAATTTCTTGTCTCTATAGTATAAATTTTCCAGTAATTTCCATGTAAAAATCTGAAAAACACATTTATATACAACTCATAAATGTGATATAATCAAAGAGCATGGTATCTCTAAGGGAAAAGATGGACATTGTGTAAAATTTTTTGTCTCAAAATACTCCACCAGTATTGCTAATTAATGAAGAAAAGATATTCCATACTTTTTTTTAAATAGCATCGCACCATTCTGCATTTATACCAAAAATTGCAGCCAAGTTGCTGATCCTAGCACTAGTTTTATGTGGAAAGTATCAATTTCAAAAGAGCATGTCCTAAAGGGCCTTATACAATTTCCAATACCACCTGTTAGTTTTTATATATAAAATAAGCTATGATATAAGTTCTGACTTCCTACTCCAAATAAGTCACAGTATTTCACTTGTTACTGGATTACTCGAAATACAAAATGCAATTAAAAAATATCTAGTAGTTTAAAAATTACTATCAAGGTGTTAAACAAACTCTTGTGGAGAGTTGTCTCATTGGCAATCATACCACATCTTCTTATTTTTATATTGCCTTACCAATGAGGATCTTGCATGGTCAGCATTTGTTTATGATGTTGGTCAGTTGGTGAGGATGTTTTAAAAACGTCCTACACAACAACTTTAAACATATAACATCCTAAATTGGATTGCACTTAATTACTAGTTATACTAGTCTACCAAGCAATTAGTTGTAAGAAAATTTAAAACTAAATTTGAACACTAAATTACCTTTCTTGGTTCTTTTTTATCAGATTTATCATAAACAGCTATTCCTTTATAACTTAGTCCTAACCACCATGGAATGTCTTTTTTGTCCTAAAATGAAGAAAAACAGTTGACCAATAAATCCATTTTGCTGTACTGGGTCAAGGCTTAGCATGTTGCTGAATCATAGATTTAAGTAATGAATGCTTACAACCTTTTCATCGTTTTAACAATTAACTTTAAGTTTCACCAATTTCCACTAAGTATGACAAATGTTTGTTTTTGTAGAAAATAACAAATTCAAGGATCATATGGTAATACAAATTACTAACGCATTTTCATTCAAACATTCAAAGTAGAAAAAACATTTTTTCAAACAATGTTAAAATCAATCTCATTGTCTTGCAAAATTTTACTTAATTTTTATTCATTAAATTTTGAATGCATCAACAAAAGTTTTGGGTAATACCTAAAAAATCTGTTCTCCTTATTACCAAATCTTATACAAATTTTTCCATTATCTTAAACTGACTGATAGTAAGAAAACTTACCTTTACTTCATAATAGTGTATACCATATGTAGGCAAACTTTCAACTATGGACATATAACTGTAAAACAAAAGGAAACTCAGACCACTGTCTACCTCAACACTTCTAGAACCTCTTGAAAAACCTTAATTAATTTATAATTATTGAAAAGAATATCAAATTATTTGATCATTATATAAATAGGATGATTTTGTGATAACATTCAGTGTAGGATGGCTGTCTGTAAATATGTCCTAAACAAACTGTGGGAAAAAAAAGTAAAGCTTTCTTATAACACGTTTTTTTTTATCATAATGTCCATTTTCTAAATAACTTGGTATATCGTGCCATATTTCTATATACATGTATTAACATCTGTATGTTTCATTTACTGTGAAGGTTTGTGAGTATATCATTTTCTTAATTTGTGCATTGAAATTCCATAAAATATAATGGGTTCAAAATTACTGCTAATACCAGAGTGTTAAACAAACTTCAATACCCACGAGGACCTTGAATGATCAGACTTATAAGATGTGCAGAATTGTGATACCACAATAAGATAATTTTGGTCCAAATGCCAGGAGGAATGGAGCACAATAAACAAGTACTTTTAGATAATAATTTAAAACCTAATCATTTCAAGTGGATGAAAGTTTTACAATAAACAAAATAAAATGCTTCGCTGAGCGCAGCCTGATACGACCGCAGTAGTCCAACCCTGAACAGTTGGGGCAAATTTGGATACAATATTCAAGCTTGATACTGTCTGAATTTTGATTGTGATCAAATTTTTAACATAATAAAGGTTTCTGACACAAAATAAATGTGGTCAAAGATCTTACAAATCTATTGCCCAATACTGTACAATTGAAGATTTCTTCTTTAAACTTTTCAAAAATTTGAAATTTGAAAATTTTTGAAAAAAAATATGAATTCCTTAAAAAAATTGGAACCCCCCCCCCCCCAAAAAAAACCTTTTGGAAACCCCCCTTGAAGCAACTACCCCAAGACTCAATCCCATCCTTCCCTTTGTAGTATGGAACCTTGTAGTACAATTTCAGAGAGATCCATACACTTAAACACAAGTTATTGTCTGGAAACTAGAAAAATGCTTGTTTTTTGCCCTTTTTTGGCCCCTAATTCCTACAAGTTTGGGGCAATTATCCCCAAACTCAATCCCAGCCTTCCCTTTGTGATATGGAACCTTGTGGTACAATGTCAGAGAGATCCATACACTTACACACAAGTTATTGTCCGGAAACTACAAAAATTATTGTTTTTGGCCCTTAATTCCTAAACTGTTGGCCCCATAACCCCTTAAATGAATTCCAACCTTCTACTTGTGGTATTAAACATTGTGGTACAATTTCAGAGCAATCAAAATACTTATACACAAGTTAATATCCTGAAACTAGAAAAATGCTTGTTTTTGGCCCCTTTTGGGCCCCTAATTCCTAAATGGTTGGGACCATCATCCCCAAAATCAATCCCAACCTTCCTTTTGTGGTATTGAACCTTCTTAAAAAATTTTATAAAGATCCATTCACTTAAACTAAAGATATTGTCCGGAAACCAACGTGTCTTCGGACGATGACATCATACCATTATACAATCCCAAAAAATTTTTTGCAGTCGTATAATAAAACCCAGACTAATTCATTCACCAAGTTTTATAATTCACTCTATCAACTAAATTATATTCTGTAATTTAGAAATTCATGAGTTTGAACAATATGGCTTTATCTCCCCTGGTATAAAAGGTAACCAGACAGAAAGTCACACGACAAAAAGTCACAGTACAGAAAGTCACAAACTCGATAGGACAAAAAGTCACAGTACAGAAAGTCACAAACTCGATAGGACAAAAAGTCACAGTACAGAAAGTCACAAACTCGATAGGACAAAAAGTCACAGTACAGAAAGTCACAAACTTGATAGGACAAAAAGTCACAGTACAGAAAGTCACAAATTTGATAGGACAAAAAGTCACAGTACAGAAAGTGACAAAAAGTTCTTGATATAGCTTCTTTTTATTACATATATTCATTTTACAGTTTAGGAAATTGTTCACAAGCCTTGATAAATAAAGATTTGTCAAATTTTAATCATGCAAAGAATATATTTCTTGGCACAACGAATCCAATTAAGAACAAAACAACTTTGACAAACTGTTTTCTTAACAATTAACTGATCATTGATGATTATTTTTAGGATAAATTTTGTTTGCTTTATATATAATAGTTAAAGAAAAATACAAAAATGTGTTTACAAAATAAGTGTTTTCTTATTCAAAGAAAAATAATCTCAAAACTGAATTGTGACTTTTTGTCTGTGACTTTTTGTCTGTGATTTTTTGTCCTATGACTTTCTGACCTACATTATTATAGTAGTACTTACTTGACAATAGCTAATCCTTTTGAAATTCCTAATAATTTCTTATAATGTCCTATGACTTTGTCTTCACTGAAAAGAGAAATAAAACAACATTCAGAATCCTGAAACAATCCTTTATTTGTTTGAATGATGTCAATTATCATATCTGAAGATGTTAATTAATATGAGATTCTAAAAGAGAGAAATATAAATAAAAATATTTGAACTGAAGTATTTCTCCAATTAATTTTTTTTTCTGACTATTTTACCAAAAACATTATCCATCTACAAGATACACTAAAAACCTAACTGTAACAACGTAGAGTAAACGGAATGCCTCATTGAAATCTCATCATTTCTCTAACATTATGCCTGCTAAGTACTTTAATTTGCATGACCGGAAAATTGGGAGCTGAATGCACCTAAAAACCAAAAAGATAAAGAACTTAGGCAAAAAAATTGAACTTTCAGAAAATCAATTGTCCATAAAAAAAGAGAAACTCTTGAGTCCATCCCTCAAATGTTTGCTAAAAAATAACATTAAATGTCTTCAAACTATCTTTAACAACTGAAGTGGAAGCACTGTTAAGTCTTGTCTGCCTCATTAAAATCATGCTAAAATAATACAATGCTGAAAGCTTTCGGAAATGGATTTTCATTATAACAGCAATGAAATTGTATAAATGCTTAAAACTGACATTTATCATTTCTGTAGCTCTCGGCAACATGTGCCATATCATAATGGATTAACAGATAATCTCTCAGATAGACAAGGATTATTAGTGTATTACCACTAAAGTATCATTTGCACAGAATGCTGACAAAAGATTTTTTACAATCGCAAGGGAGAAAATCAAGATTTTAAATTTCTAACTGCTATTTGTCAAACTAGTTATAACAGCTACTGTTAGCACCTTTAAAGAAATCTTACTACATGTATTACGACAATTTTGAGAAAAAAATATCCCAGCTATTATACTCTTTTAAAAGATCACTCAGCAAAGTTACAAAAGCAACTGACCTGTCTGTAAGTAAGAGATTAAATCCCGACTATTTCTGATGTTTTATTTAGTCTATGCAAGACTATTTTTATAGACATACAAATAATGTAGAATGTCCATGTCCAAAAGCAAGTTACATCCACTTAATAAACCGAACTATCAATATACATCAGGTTCAGCTAAAAGCTGGACCTCAATGTCTGCCTTTGTTACTTTCATTCTTTGCCAGCAGGCTTTCAATTTTATATATCAAGTACCTCACAGCCTTACAGTTGTTTTATTTATGCTTCTCTTTGATTTTTACAATTAATGATGTTTTTCCATGAAAAGAAAACACTTAGTACAAAGAAGACATAAGTTTGTTTTGTGGTAAGACAGCTGTTATAAACATAAACAGACACTGTTTGTATAAATGACAACCTGATCAGAAATTCTGTGTTTTTTTATATTATCATTTGGAATGGAATGCAACGAGTGCAATAATGCAATGAAAATGCTTTATACCTTACCATTATAAGGTTTTAAATCACAATAATGTAAAGTATGTTCCCTTTTGAAATTTCTACACAAGAAGGTACCATTTAAAACAAAAATTAAACGTTTAATGGAAACTAAACTTTCAGAAAGACTTACAATGCAAAAGCCGTGAACACGTAAGATGATTAGAGTTTTACATCTAAACAGAAAATCAACTGAAAAAAAATGTGGCAAATACCTGTAGCTTACCAAATGCAGGCAAAATAACTGCTGAACTTAAACTGATGTTATTAGGGAAAGAGATGTGTACTCAAAACATTTTAACAATGTGACTGTCAACTGAAAGAAACAGGCTATCCTACATTGAATACCAAGATGCCAAACAAGAAAGAATAAGGAAAATAGTTGTAGACTACTAAGATGTTTGACAATGTAACTTCTACTCTGAATTAATGAGGAAATCAAATATGGACAACCAAGATGTTGACAGTATGAACTTAAAACATGATTGAGAATAACTGTCCTTATAACAACTAAGGAATAAGGCAATTGTTATCAAGGGTCTTGGTTGTGTACAGAAATAAAAAAAATATTTAGTATGTATCAAGAATGTTTGGAAATATATTACATTTGATATGACAACAGTAGGAATTGATTCAAGATGGAAAATTTGGCAGTTATCATTGACCAAACATTTATAATACAAGGAAGAAATATTTGAGACTTGACGATTATCACATTAGCTTCCTTAATATTTCTATCAAGATATCTTCAACACACAATCTAAATGACATTTGATCTTGCTGAGATACATATCACCCATACTTCACAAATTCTAGACATATTTATTTTTGAAGACAGCTGCATATAAACGGGATCAAATTAAATCTGCATTCCAAGTCAACAGATTCATAAACTTCATCAATTTATAAGTCAACTTATCTTATGAAAATTAATTGCAAGCTATTTAATAAAATATTGTTATCTCTAAATAAAATTTATTACAATCAGATATTTTAATAGGTTTCACATGGTTTTGATATATCAATCCATATTGTCTTTACATTGGAAGCAATGTGATAGACTTCAAAGAAAATTCTATGTGCCACAACTTCAATGTACTAATGAATGTTTTTCTCAGGAAATAATTGTTGGTTTTTGTCGAGCCTGCGACTTTTGTCGCAAAAGCGAGACATAGTGATCCTACATTCCGTCGTCTTCGTCATTGGTGGCGTCCACAAATATTCACTCTATGGTTAAAGTTTTTGAAATTTTAATAACTTTCTTAAACTATCCTGGATTTTACCAAACTTGGACAGAAGCTTGTTTATGATCATAAGATAGTATCCAAAAGTTAATTTTGTAAAAAAAAAAAACCTGTTTATCTGTATTTTACTTATAAATGGACTTAGTTTTTCTGCCAGTTAACATGGTTAAAGTTTTAAAATTTATTAGATTCATAAACCATCCTGGATTTTAACCAAACTTATTTAAAAATTATCTTCTTTTTTTTTACAAGCATAACTTTTTTCATACATTTCAAACGTTTTATTTCATTAACTGTAAATCTATTATGTGCATTCCCCTATCACACTAAAAACATAGACAACAGCAAAAGTAGGCGATACACTGGGTTCTGTGGAACCCTTACAAATTTTTAAAGATATCTATTCCCTTGGGAGAGAATATTGCATAAGTGTATATTGTGTGATTTTACAGTTCAAAAGCAGTTAGAACTAGAACCAAAAAGGTTCTGATAAGTATACAGTATGTTTATTTTCTCACAGCCATATGACATCAAAATAATCAGTTGAGTTTCTGATTCTATCTTATCTTTATTGACAAATGACTTTATGCTAAGACTGCACTCTAATTATGCCAAGTTATCAACAGTAAAACATTGCTGACATCTCAGTTACTTCCATTCAATCTCATATTTATCTGTATTTATCTTATACCACAGAGTTTCAATATCACAGATCAAAACTTCGATAGAAAATTGTACCCTACAAGATTTCTTAGTATGAAAATACAGCTGTCTGAAGTCACAGAGACTTTTGATAAACATTCCGGATTGAAAATCATAGACCAATAATTTTTATGCAAGGAATTGGTTAACCACAAAAACTTTTGTGCAATATTAACTAACTACTATCTTACCATATTGTTAGACGCCTTTCGAGGCTGCAGTAAGGAAGTAATAGTCCTTTATCTAAGCAAATACTTTTTACAATAAAAATTGACAGCTCTTATAAACATGTCAATAAAATACAATATCCATGTATACTGGCAACTTTCAGATATTCAATATTCACTAAGAAGGACTGTCAAATGTATATAGTCCAGGCTTGATGTGACAATTATCCCAGGTCATCAGGTTGTTATAGTGATGATACACCTGACCAGACACTGTTCAAACAACAATACTAATTCCTAATATATCACCAGCATCTATAAATCCTCCCTTTCTCAGAATAATTGGTGAAATAGAGGACCTGAGCATCTTAACATAGAAAACATTGTATCATTACATTTCCTGTTTGAAGTAGATAATCTAAGTTTATCCAATAATGGACAGTAAGTATACTACTGACCAGACTTGTGATGTAATGATAAGTAATATCAATGTTTTCTTTTGGATGTCTTATCTAATCATTAAAGGATTAGTTCTCATAAGAGAAGGGTCAAGGTAAATCAAAAAGGATTTCAGTCAATGAATCCTGGTCAGTCATAGAATGCACATTTTTTCTAGAATAATTCATATTTATGTTCTTTACCATTTGACAAGAAAATATGAAAATACACATGTATGCATTCAATAAATATTTATAATCACTGAAAATCTTCAATTCAAAAAGTCATGTACTACAAATTTATAACTTAAAAAATGTTTTTTTAATAACTGATTTTCTTTTTTGTGTGTCTCTATCTTTCTAAATCATAGTTAAAGTTCAAGATAATAAATTCATTCAACAGGATGGTGTTTTTTAACCTACTTGGCCACAGGATGTTAGGTGTGGATGTATGTCCATTTACTTATATCAATATACTTATCAGCAAAAGTAAACAAGGTCAATCTCACCTGCCAAAGTGATATTGTTTGTTTAATACCCTAACAAAAACAGGCTTTAATAATATAATGGTTTCAAAATATCTAAAATAAATATGTCTTTAATAAATACATTTCAAATTAATTTCCTATTCTATTCTAATTTGGTCAACTAACACTACATATAATGATGTGAGGAGAATAAGTTTTTAGCTTTTTAAAATGATGTTACTTATTAAAAGGGAAAACTGATATCTTAAAGATATAACCTGGGAACAGTATATCTATATATATGTTCCTGATATAACCTGCATGATTTTTATATAATCCTGAACATTCTCAATATGAGTTTAACTACTTTAAGCTCAGGAAATATGCAAGAAATTGTATGATCACTTTACTGCAGAGTCTTAGTCATTCCTTTCAGAATTTGATTAACATGATAGGTGTTCAAAATAAAGGCAAAACTTAGGTAAACCTACTATAAAGTAGTCTGTCCAATTTTGTTTACAGGGCCAAAACATCTATACCCAATCGGCTTAAATTATCTAAAATATGAATTTAAAGTAAAGTATAAAATACAACTTACAATTGTGGTGATTCTTCTCCAACTACTTCAGTACAGTCATGATTACAAGCTTACATTTTGGATAAGGTTAGATAACCCCATGCTGGGGAACAATCATGTGACCAAAACATTTATCAAACATCAAAAGGAAGCTACATTTGCAACAATCAGTTGTCCTTGTTTGAAATTTTATTTGGGGTTATTTTGTCATATTTCTAGTCTCTGAAAGGTCATGAGATTCAGAACATTAAATTTACACATTAGTTTTCTCAGGCAAGTACATTTGATTAAATGTGATTCAGTGAATTATACATCATTATAAAAAAAAAAAAATTGCTGTACATAGCGTTTTATGACAGCCAAATTGCCATAAACTATATTTTAATGACAACTATGTTCAGTGAACTTGAATCAATTTTCATGAGAATATAAAGTAAAATGTGTTTTTCATGTACTGGTAGATTTTCTGTAATGAGGCCATGATAAAATCTTAACCAAAATTTCTTAATACTTCTGAAAATTTAATTTAACAAATCAAGAAACTCCACATGAGGAGTCTGATACTAGTTTTAAATGCTTCAATTCCATCAACTTAATCTAAGTTAAACTGTTCATAACATTTTTCATAGCTGGATGATGATTTTCTTGGTCCTTAATTGACATTACCACTATCATTAGATTAGAATTTTATCAGGATAGCATTCTTTTTTATCACAAATACACAAATAGTTTTCAGAAAAGAATGAAACCTTTTATAATCAAATGTGACCAATGTCCTTGCAAACACTAATATAATTGTAACATTAGGTTGATGACCAGTCTTTACTTCAATGTTTTGCAGGTTAACATTGAGTGACAAATTTAACAAACTACAAAGAGTGGACTATATAGTCATCATAGTGCCACAGAAAATCTTACTTTTAAATATTGAGCATTTTGACTTTTCAATTACTGTGAAATGTAAATTAACCTGAAGTAGTTTCAGCATTTCCGTAAATAAATCAAAGCATTTCTGCTTAGTTGTGCATACACAGAAATAATTAATGAAGACATCTCAAGGAATGTGTTAAAGCAATTAATGAACAAATTATACACAAACATATAAACCTTTAGTGTGTATATTATGAAAGGTTTAATAAAACAAAGATTGTGATTATTCTCTGAAATAAATATTCCAAAAACACGGCACTAAAAGTACAAAATGTGCCTCAGTAAGATTTATAGCTTTAGTTAGCTTTCGGATCTATCATGAAAATCATGACTTCTTTTTAATATCTGGACTAACATTATTTTATCGCCATTGTAGTTTTCTTTTAAGGGAGGTAGTTAGTCTTACCTGATAAACAAACAACATCTGAGTTACGTAACAATGAAAATTTGCCCAGAGCTACAATAACGAACCGATAAATACATACATTCCTCAACACTAAACAACTGCAAAATATTCTCTGAAAACTGAACAATCCTGTAGCCAATCTAGTAATAGAATTGGTGACAGCAATATGGCAATTGGTGCATGCATGAAAATCAATAAGTAACTTATTGGTCTGAACCAAAATCTCTTCTTTCTGAGAAGAAAACATTATTAAATAATGCCATCATATGTCATACAAATCAACAAATATGTGAAACCATTCCAACAAAAATCCATTAGACTGACATTTCAATTAAACTTTAGGATCCTATCTCTAACAATTTCTTAACTATTATCTAATAAAACAATGCAAATTGCTGGCATTATCACATTTTACAGTTTCTGTCAAGTCGACTCATTCAAATCAATTTCCTCCTAGCAGTTATCAGTTCTATTGATCAATATCATGCAATCAGATTACATAATTAAAATCTGCTTACAATTGAATATAAATAGACTGCAATATGGTTTAATTTGCAATATTGCAGATTTCTAAGTGCAATCTATAAATTACAAATGACTATGTAGTCAACTGTTTGCAAGGTCTGCCCTTAGAATTACTTTACTCCAAGGTAGTATCTAAAATCAAATGAATAACAACAGCCATATCTCCTGAATAGCCATAATTACGATGACACACATAAAACTACTTCTGATGCAGAACCCTTCTTGAACTATCAATCATTCTATTGAACAGGGACAATTTTTTCCTGAAAATTGGAAAAACATTACCCCATGTGTTCTGGTTGGCAAACTTTGTATATCAGACAAGCAAATGACTTGATTGTACTAATTACATGAGAATTTATAAGTAAGCCGAATATATTACTGTGTTGATTTGTAGTAATGTGACAGGACCGCAAATAACTTTCAAAAACATATTGGGAAAAACATATTCTATACACATCTTCTTATTTTTATATGTGGTTAGCACAAAGTACCACTTATGTATCACAGACAGAAATAATAACATTAATATAAGACAGAACAAGACCAAATAAAAATGATAGCTACAAGCAATCCCTGATGACCAGAAATGATATTAAGTAAACCAAAAAATCCCTGATGACCAGAAATGATATTAAGTAAACCAAAAAAATCACTTTACATATTATAGAACTAGCTCGGTCTGGTTATCAATCTGTATAATGACAAGAAATTTGACACAGACATTTTCTAATACATGTTGTTATCTGATGCAGAGTTATTTTCCTCTTTTGTTCTGGAAAAGTCAATGTTTATATACCAAAAAAGCACTGAAGGCTCAGCTTTGGTTAACAATTATCTTTAAGGAATTCACACGACACCAAATCACATTTTTTGTGCCAGAGATAAGGAAATTGTAGACTTCTAGTTACAAAATCACAGAAACACAAAAAATTTGTAAGGGTTCCGCGGAACACAGTGTCTCGCCTACTTTTGCTTTTAGTCGCAGGCTCAACAAAAATGTGGAAAAAATGATTAAAAATTTTCCTCTAGATACTATCTTTTAATTGTAAGAAGTTCTGTTCAAGTTTGGTAAAAATCCCAGAAGGTTTATAAATCTAATAAATGTTTTAAAAACTTTAACTGCAGACTGTACGTTATGTTAACTGGAATAAAACTAAGTCCATTTATACGTAATATACGGAAAAACAGGAAATAAATTTTTACAAAATTTCCTTCTAAATACTAGCTTTTGATCATAAACAAGCTTCTGTCCAAGTGTGGTACAAATCCAGGATAGTTTAAGATAGTTATTAAAATTTGAAAAGCTTTAACCACAGAGTAAATGTTATGTTAACTGGCAGAAAAACAAAGTCCATATATGAGTAAAATACGGATAAACAGGATTTTTTTTTTTACAAAATTTTCTTCTGGATACTATCTTAAACAAGCTTCTGTCCAAGTTTGGTACAAATCTAGATTAGTTTAAGAAAGTTATTAAAATTCTAAAAACTTTAACCACAGAGTGAATGTAATGTTAACTGGCAGAAAATCTAAGTCCATTTATGAGTAAAATACGGATAAACAGGAATTTTTTTTTACAAAATTTACTTCTGGATACTATCTTATGATCATAAACAAGCTTCTGTTCAAGTTCGGTTGAAATGCACGGAATGTAGGATCGCTATGTCTCGCTTTTGCAAAAAAAGTCGCAGGCTCTACAAAAATGAAGTACTTATCTTTTGTGTATATGAAACAGGTATTCAATAGAGAAAAATAAAACTCACTTAGACTACTATCATTTATCTAAAGAGCAAGTTATCAATTAATATAAATTGTATACACTTACCAATATGAAATGGATGGATGTTCTCGTAAGGCACTTGTTGGAATCAGAGGTAACTTTTTTAATTCAGACCGCACACTTTCTTCACTGAAAAACAAATAAAATAAAAATGACTGAAATTGAAATTACCTATATATCAAAACATAATGCAACAGTTGCACTTTCTACCAACATTTACTGCACTAAAATCATGCAGACAGATGCATATCATACAGTCAATTTTTATTTGATGAGATTTAACAGGGTCATTGCTGATGTTTTTATTATGATTACAACCACCCTGGCTATCAAGCATTTATGTGATAGAAGTTATCATAGTAATAGATGTTTCTTCAAATAACTAAAGCTGTTATATACACTCAACCATGTATTTAATATAGCTTTTCAAAAAACAATATACACATAGAGAAATTATATTATCTTATTTCTGAAATTCTCAGCAGTTTCAACAGTAGGAGATCATGTTATTCTTATACTTTGGGATAAATTTAGATTTCTTATATCTTGACTGACCTTGCATATAAAACAGATTAATGTAGGAAAAGCATTTACAAGCATCTTTGTACAATTTCAATAATAATAAAAATAATTCTTCTGCAGGGACTAAACTCAAGTGTTTTCCTCCAGGGGCCAGCTGGGCCTCTAAAATATTTTTTTCAGGGGCCCAACCAATTTTTATACTAATAAAATAAAACTGAAATGTACTTTTCATATACTAATAAAGCCTTATTAGGTAATCCTACATGTAGCTTTTGAGTCTGGTAAAGATTATGTGTGATAACTTTATAATATTTGAATTATTGCCACCAGAAATATATCATAAGATTTGACAATACTGATCTTAGTACATTTCCTACAAAAACTGTCTCCCTTCAATTTCAACTTCCTGTTGACCTGTTGACCTTTTGACAATATGACGGTTTCTATGAATCATTAAATGCTATTTCAAATCCAAGCCATCCTCTTATAGTGTTGATCAAAAATATTACTCAATTACCCTTTATTGAAGACTGGATATCAAACTAGATATTTTGATATTTATTTACGAGATTTTGCGTTTCTTTTTTTCATTAAAGATTTTGTAAATAGTGATTCGTGGACAAGTTATTGTCTAATACAGGCTTGTAATGACTCCCTGGACAACTGGAATGCATCCCTTTAGCGATGCAGATTGAACAGTTTAGAAGAAAACACTAAACAATAATGAAATAATCGTAGAAGATTAAAAAGAGGGATAAGAACACGTGCTTAGAGAAGGAGGTATATGTCAAATCATGATTTTGTATTGAAAACACATGATTTTGTATTGAAAACATAGTTGTCCGACCGGGTTTGGGTTATTAAAATGAACTTACTGGTTTTCGGAAATGCTCTCTTTAATTTTCCGGCTTTGATTAGACAAGCAGGTTTCCATTTGGGAACAGTTTTTGTTTATATCATGGGGGAAAGGTTAGAAATGGGATTCAATGCAAAATATTTTACAGTCACCAGCTGGGCAATAAGGATGATAAAATATATTCGCCCAGCCGAAAATCTGGTAGCCTTGGGCGACTAGGTGAGCATTAAGTTAAGTCCCTGTTCTGGAACAAAGATAGGTGCATCAAAAATACATGTAAAAAGATTCTACATTTCCCATTATTTTTCCCCTTTTGTGATACCCTAGGATAAAAGGCTATAGCAGTTTAAATGACTTACTCAGGAAAATCTCCATACGTTGCTTGTAAAACATAAGCTGCCAATTCAAATACAGTGTCACTATCACATTCTATCTGGTCCTGTAAAAATAAATAATACAATGTATAGAAACAAATACAGTATCACTATCACATTCTATCTGGTCCTGTAAAAATAAATAATACAATGTATAGGAGCAAATACAGTATCACTATCACATTCAATCTGGCCCTGTTAAAATGAATAATACAATGTATATAGGAAAAAATACAGTATCACTTTCACATTCTATCTGGCCCTGTAAAAATGAATAAACAGTATCACTATCACATTCTATCTGGACCTGTAAAAATGAATAATACAATGTATAGGAACAAATACAGTATCACTATCACATTTTATCTGGTCCTGTTAAAATGAATAAAACAATGTATCTAGAAACAAATACAGTATCACTATCACATTCTATCTGGTCCTGTAAAAATGAATAATACAATGTATAGGAACAAATACAGTATCACTATCACATTTTATCTGATCCTGTTAAAATGAATAATACAATGTATCTAGGAACAAATACAATATCACTATCACATTCTACAATGTATCTAGAAACATATACAGTATCACTATCATATTCTATCTGGTCCTGTAAAAATGAATAATACAATGTATAGGAACAAATACAGTATCACTGTCACATTCTATCTGGTCCTGTTAAAATGAATAATACAATGTATCTAGAAACATATACAGTATCACTATCACATTCTATCTGGTCCTGTAAAAATGAATAATACAATGTATAGGAACAAATACAGTATCACTATCATATTTTATCTGGCCCTGTAAAAATGAATAAACAGTATCACTATCAAATTCTATCTGGTCCTGTAAAAATGAATAATACAATGTATAGGAACAAATACAGTATCACTATCACATTCTGTCTGGTCCTGTAAAAAAAAATACCATTCATACGAATATCAACATCATGTAATAAGTATTAGTAATAAATGATTAAGTCGAAGTAATATTCAAATAAACAAATAAGGTAACAAAGTACATTTTACTTTATTTTCTCATTTTTTTCTAAAAATCATCAGATATGTAACAAACTTTTAAAATTCATTTTCAAATGTACATTACTTAAATATGTTTCTAGTCTATCTACTGAAATGATTCAGCGATGACAACTCATCTATATATATCTGACATCAGTGTTTTTGACCGAACAATAAACACTTGTAATTACGACTTAATTTTGGCTATATTTAGTATCCCTTATAAACTTATATGCCCACACTATGTTATAGAAAACACTTTACTTTTGTACCAGTCACTACCTCTTGGTCTCAGAAAGAACAATGCATTTCATGTTGATGACCTCAAAGAAAACATGGTCAATGTCCAATGATATATTTATATCAATCATTACTATGTATTCTTTAGATCAAACATAATTTTGTATGAACAAACAAACTACTGGACAAACATACCTGCATGACATCATAAGAACCTTACCATTAGAATAATAGGATTTATGGTCTGGACAAACATACCTGCATGACATAAGAACCTTACCCTTAGAATAATGGGATTTATGGTCTGGACAAACATACCTGCTATGCATGACATCATAAGAACCTTACCCCTAGAATAATGGGATTTATGGTCTGGACAAACATACCTGCATGACATCATAAGAACCTTACCATTAGAATAATAGGATTTATGGTCTGGACAAACATACCTGCTATGCATGACATCATAAGAACCTTACCATTAGAATAATGGGATTTATGGTCTGGACAAACATACCTGCATGACATAAGAACCTTACCATTAGAATAATAGGATTTATGGTCTGGACAAACATACCTGCTATGCATGACATCATAAGAACCTTACCCTTAGAATAATGGGATTTATGATCTGGACAAACATACCTGCTATGCATGACATCATAAGAACCTTACCCTTAGAATAATGGGATTTATGGTCAGGACAAACATACCTGCTATGTATGACATCATAAGAACCTTACCCCTAGAATAATAGGATTTATGGTCTGGACAAACATACCTGCATGACATCATAAGAACCTTACCCTTAGAATAATGGGATTTATGGTCTGGACAAACATACCTGCATGACATCATAAGAACCTTACCATTAGAATAATGGGATTTATGGTCTGGACAAACATACCTGCTATGCATGACATCATAAGAACCTCACCATTAGAATAATGGGATTTATGGTCTGGACAAACATATCTGCTATGCATGACATCATAAGAACCTTACCCCTAGAATAATGGGATTTATGGTCTGGACAAACATACCTGCTATGCATGACATCATAAGAACCTCACCATTAGAATAATGGGATTTATGGTCTGGACAAACATATCTGCTATGCATGACATCATAAGAACCTTACCCCTAGAATAATGGGATTTATGGTCTGGACAAACATACCTGCATGACATCATAAGAACCTTACCATTAGAATAATGGGATTTATGGTCTGGACAAACATACCTGCTATGCATGACATCATAAGAACCTTACCCCTAGAATAATGGGATTTATGGTCTGGACAAACATACCTGCATGACATCATAAGAACCTTACCATTAGAATAATGGGATTTATGGTCTGGACAAACATACCTGCTATGCATGACATCATAAGAACCTTACCCTTAGAATAATGGGATTTATGATCTGGACAAACATACCTGCATGACATCATAAGAACCTTACCATTAGAATAATGGGATTTATGGTCTGGACAAACATACCTGCTATGCATGACATCATAAGAACCTTACCCTTAGAATAATGGGATTTATGGTCAGGACAAACATACCTGCTATGCATGACATCATAAGAACCTTACCCTTAGAATAATGGGATTTATGGTCTGGACAAACATACCTGCATGACATAAGAACCTTACCCTTAGAATAATGGGATTTATGGTCTGGACAAACATACCTGCATGACATAAGAACCTTACCCTTAGAATAATGGGATTTATGATCTGGACAAACATACCTGCTATGCATGACATCATAAGAACCTTACCCCTAGAATAATGGGATTTATGGTCTGGACAAACATACCTGCTATGCATGACATCATAAGAACCTTACCCTTAGAATAATGGGATTTATGGTCTGGACAAACATATCTGCTATGCATGACATCATAAGAACCTTACCCTTAGAATAATGGGATTTATGGTCTGGACAAACATACCTGCTATGCATGACATCATAAGAACCTTACCCTTAGAATAATGGGATTTATGATCTGGACAAACATACCTGCTATGCATGACATCATAAGAACCTTACCCTTAGAATAATGGGATTTATGGTCTGGACAAACATACCTGCATGACATAAGAACCTTACCCTTAGAATAATGGGATTTATGGTCTGGACAAACATACCTGCATGACATAAGAACCTTACCCTTAGAATAATGGGATTTATGATCTGGACAAACATACCTGCTATGCATGACATCATAAGAACCTTACCCCTAGAATAATGGGATTTATGGTCTGGACAAACATACCTGCTATGCATGACATCATAAGAACCTTACCCTTAGAATAATGGGATTTATGGTCTGGACAAACATATCTGCTATGCATGACATCATAAGAACCTTACCCTTAGAATAATGGGATTTATGGTCTGGACAAACATACCTGCTATGCATGACATCATAAGAACCTTACCATTAGAATAATGGGATTTATGATCTGGACAAACATACCTGCTATGCATGACATCATAAGAACCTTACCCTTAGAATAATGGGATTTATGGTCTGGACAAACATACCTGCATGACATAAGAACCTTACCCTTAGAATAATGGGATTTATGGTCTGGACAAACATACCTGCTATGTATGACATCATAAGAACCTTACCCTTAGAATAATGGGATTTATGGTCACTATAACTTCTAACTGGTAGTGTAAAGTAACTGTCATACCCTACAGACTCTTATCTTGGAGAGAAATAATGCTTACCCGAAATATAAGTTGTTTAGCATTGAGATGAAATAATTCTACAGTTGCTGTATCCCTGAGACTTGAAATAGATTCTGCATAAAACCTGCAGTAAAATTTAAAAAATATTAAGGCAAATGTCATGTTTAATATTATTTTATAAAATGCCAATCATCTGTTTTTAATATGTAAAGAAACATTGAATTATAGACTTTTAGCATGACAGGTATTGGAATGAGATGTCCACAGGATTGTCAGATAAATGGAACTTTTTTGACAGTTTGAGTGATAGCTAAGTTTTTTAAATAAAATTCTTCTCAAAAGAAAATGTCCAATCAAGCCTGCAAAACCCCTAAAAAAGAGCAGTCTGGTAAACAATGCAATCTATTAAAATCTATTAAAATCTTAATATATGGTGTAGCTAATGCTATATAAGAACCTCACTTGAGAATTTAATTGTAGTACTTTAATTTCAATTCCAAATATCTAATGTCTATTTGTGTGTACAAGATTCTTTCTTTTGATAGTATTACTTTCCATAATTATTGTAATTGGAATGTCTTCTACTTTACTGATGGGAATTCATATCGGATAAAAAGATGAATGTTTGACATTCCATGGAAAATCTTTCGACCATATTTAGGATATGAACCCTACTTGGAACAAGACTAATTTCCTGACACTGAAATTTAACATGCATATTCCCAAAAAATTATATGAATACATGTTAACCCATCTGGAAACATTATAATAAGAGCTGACCAGTCTTTAATTTTCATTCCAATTTGCGTGCTGTTCAATATAATTTTATAAAGTACACAATTTTATTTTTATTTTAAGAATTATTTCCTACACATCCCATTAACAATTGGGTGTTCCATTAACAAAAGGGTTCTAATCTTCATTTTTTTTTTACAATTAGTAATAAACTATAAATGGTCCTCTTCTTGAGCCATTAAGTGAATACATCAAAAAGAACTGGACAACTATAAAATAACTCAAGAATAAATTTGCATATAAAAATATTCCTAACAGTCAACACTGTCAGGTGGTCAATTTATTTTCCCCCTCCAGTTTTGTTTCTCCCCTTCAATCAGGTCAACAATCTGTTACCTCCCCAAAAATTTACATGTTCAACTACTGGCACCTAAACATTCCATAAAACAACAAAAAATGAGATTCATCTCCTGTTATTCATACAAATAAAAAAACAAACTTCAAATTCACCTGCCCACATGTATCCTGGTATATCTAAGTACAAGTGTACTCACCTGACAGAAAAATTGAGTGTTAATATCCCAGTTTTCCTTGGAAAATCATGTTCTAAAACTTTTTTGTCTAAATTTAACCAATTACTATGACCCCTGAAAAGATACAATAATAAAAAAATCAACAGACTGTTGTAAGTACAAATCAGAATTATCTGAAACAAACATAGTTTATTGAATTGACTGATCATATTTGTTTTTCGTAAATTGTTTTGTTATAAATTAGGCCATTCTTTTTCTCAATTGAATGTTTCATGTTTTTCATGTTGGGGCCTTTCATAGCCGACTATACGGTATGGGTTTTTCTCATTGTTGAAGGCCGTAAGGTTGCCAATAATTGCTTACGTCCACTTTATTTTAACTTTGGTGGATAGTTGTCTCATTGGCAATCATACCACATCTCCTTATTTTTATAATGAATATGAAAATTGCTAAAGGAATCTGTTCCATAATTCCATAAATGATTGATTGATTGATTGATTGTTTGTGTTTAATGCCACTTTCAGCACTATTGGCTACATCGTGGAGGGAAATTTTTATTGGTGGAGGAAGCTGGAGTGCTCGAGGAGAACAACCAACCTTTGGCAGGAAAACTGACAATCCTAGTCAATTAAGATTGGAGTTGAATGCACCTGCCACTGGTATGGTTGGGACTCACCTCAGTATTGACAGGCTAGTGATACAGTAGATAAACTACTTAGACCACTCGGCCACCAAGGCTGGGTTCAAACTCATAACCTCAGTGTTGACAGGCTAGTGATACAGTAGATGTACTACTTAGACCACTCAACCACTGAGGTCCCTTACATAACTGATAATCAAAATTCATAACACTATATATACATATTGTTAATTTCACAAGACTGAAACACTTTAATTTGTATAATTTTGTAAATTAAGAATGTCTATAAATGAATCTGACTTTTAATATTATACTAGTTCTTTGAACTAGATATTCTTTATTATCCAATTGCATAATATCCTATTACAAATGAACTACATTCCTATTGAAGAATCTGTGAAAGTTTAGTTGAATTCTGTCACTTTGTTTTCAAGCGTTTCACATTAACATAAAGTGTGACGTGAATGACCACAACAAGGACACATGATGACAGAAGCGCTTCCTATGTGTCACTACAGCTTTCAATTAGGCAAGAAGTGTACACACCATAGGCACAGATGAATGGTAAAATACTCAAAAGTTTACAAACTAAAAATGTCTCCCCTATGGAGCCTAAAAGACAATTAATTGGAAAAGAAGTCACAGCAAAATGACAATTCAAATGTGTTCTGTATCCAATATTGTTGCTAACATGAAGAGTTTCTGAGAAATAATCCACAAAACTGACATCTGACTACATGTATGAATTATGACAAATCAATTATGACATGTCAAACCAAGGCTTCCAAAACGATCATATATTCCGGACATTTGTATAATGTCCGGTAAAAGTCCGGCTGGGCAAAGCACGAAATGGTCATCTACTTTTTAGATTTCAAGGCTTTCTTAAGAGACGGTCATTTTAACATAATTCGCGATCTTTTTGACCCAACCTTTTGCCTTTAACAGCCACACATTTCCGGCCATAAAAGTGACATGATCATTAAGTACTATCAAAACAACCCCTACTTTAATACCTTCTCATTTTAATCAAGGTTAATTAGTTGTCGAACAGCTGAAATTTACCTGTTCAGGTGACAGGTAAACTATTTTGAACCGGACATTGATCGGTCTATTCAAAGTTATTTTCTTACATTTCACCGGTTTGCATCTAATTAATTTAGTCAAAAAGATTTAAATTATCAGAAATACATTTACAAATAAGATTTGATGAAAAATTAAAGAGGTGAAAATGAAAAATTGTCATAACCACGTTGTTTGAACCAGAAACATGTCTCTGTTTGAAGTAGTACACGTGTGCGCATGTGCAAGTGCGGAAGGTGTGAAATTTAATTATGCATCCTAATTTCTTTAAAAAATGCTTAAATTGTCATTGATACCTTTATCTCACGTTTATTTCGAATATTTTCTTGAAGAAATAACGTAGAATGAGCTACTTACACTCATTCATGCTTTGCAAACGTACACGGAATTTACGTATCCCTCTCTGGTCCATGTTTTACCATTGTCAAGATAACATCCGGTTTCAGATTTAAAAACGAAAGTAAAATTTTTGACAACGTTATTTTGCACAAATAAAGAGTTTAAGGCAGATATAAGTACGCTGATGTTGCACACTTCGGATGATGCACTGCCAATTTAACAGTTTACGTCAGAACTTCGAATTTGAATCAAAGAAAGTTTAATATCGTTTTTTTCAAATATCAATCATTGGGATGGCCAACTCGGCAACTGATTACCATAATTGCCTTTTGTTTATTTCGTCTTAAGGGATTAAAATCGGGATAATATATAAAATGTCCGGCTGGCTAAAAATAATTTTGGAAGCCCTGTGTCAAACAGACTTGAAGTCTTCACAGCAAATCTATATGTCAAAAGCTACTGAACTGTTTTGCATGGTAACTGATGAACACACCTAACCATGATAACTTAAGCCTACCATCAGAACATGTACTAGTGGTCAAGGTTATATGACATATCTTAGCTTACAACACCTCAACTGACCAATTATTGTTTACCCTTTATGTTATGAATAGTACTACACATGTATAGTAGCTAAGGAAAATTTACATAATCCAGAAAATTAAACCTGAACATTGCTGTTGGAAAAAATACTCTAGTCTTACTATCCAGGACTATACATTACAAAGTGTTCTGTGCACATAAGCATTTTTTCTGTATTTGACAGCAGAATGGATGTATATATGAAAGAATGTGCTTTTGCTGACTTTTACAATGGGATAAGTCCTATTTACAAAGAAAATTTTGAAATTCACAAATCAACTCATCCCAGTGTAAAATGTATAAAACTGCCAGCTGCTATGAATTATTACTTAAATTTTTTCAAACAGATAACATAATTTCCTAAATTCCTTCTACAAAATGCCTTTTTGATATGATGGTATGTAAATTTTTGGAGAACACAGCAAGCATACAATACTTTTGTTTTATTCTTTGAAATATTATATATATATGGAAACTAAAGTCAAGCCTATATGTAGTAAATCTTTATGTTTATATGATACTGAATAATACGCTAACAGCAAAGGTGTGTAGTTGTTTTACATGTTGTCCATATTTAATCATCCATTGATCTCTACAGTTTTTCTCACATTACTTATGTGAAAATAACACCTACATTAATACATAATCATTATTTACTCCTCAATGATTTTATGAATTATTGCAATAAATTTGTCTCCATTTCTTTTACTACACCTTGCGGTAAAAAGTCTAACAGAAACTTAGATCAATCAGCCATAATGAAAATGGTATTAAATCCTAGCAAATTACACCTAGTGTAAACAGGGATAGGTAAATCCTCATTCATAGTTAAGTACAAGGTTTACACTGGACATGGAAATAAGTGATTTATAAATATCTCCATTTCCTCAAGTTCTAATAACACTTTTCTATTCTCTTAACTTGCTTTATGTAATCATTTTTTACTGAAAGCAAATTAGAAATAGTGTTGGGAAACTGAAATCTTATTTTGAAACATTTAAAAAAAAAAGTTTTGGTTCAAAGATTTTGTAGTCTTTGATTACCATAGTAAACAGATTGAGTACCTTAAAAAAGGAACTATTTGAATCCATGATAATTTCGAATTCTGGAAATTTAATATAAGAAATGTATGATGAAAACTAACCCAAATAAGGAGGGTTAGCCATGCATGTGGCTAACAGGGGTTAGTTAGTTTATACTGAAATATCAGTGAAAGTAACTTTTACCTTAGCCATGCGCACATGGCTTTTAAATTGGGTTAGTTTTCATCAAATATTTTTTATCAATTTTCCAGAGTTCAAAATTATTCCAGATTCAAATAATTCCTTGTTCTTAGTACATTAATTAATCTGAAAAACATCTAACAAAAAATTATACCCAGACAAATTACATCTTACATGACAGCCTATAAACTGTCATCAGACATACACCTAATTGAAATCATATATTTTCCTGTTCAGAGGACAAAAGTAGAGCAAGACAGAAAGACCAATTTTTGTACATTAAAATTAGATTTCAAGTATTTAATTTAGCACTAAAAAATTTCATTTTTGATAAATAATATATAAACAGTTTTATTTAAACAGATTGATAACATACCTTTAGTAAATAAAACAATCCTTCAAAAGATCCTATACTTCTTAATAGATCACTAAAGGTGACAACCTTGCAATTTCATCCATATAAAAAATCTGTTATAATCATTTAATATTTGCAAGTATGTAAAATATAATTTCTTATCCTAAGTTAAGTACAATCCTAAATCCATCTATACAAACAAACCTGTGCTTTAAAAAGTGAATTATGACAACTTGAGAATTAGTCACCTCAATACACAAAACTAAATTTATGTTGTCTTCACAGCCCTTTAAATTTTTCGAAACTACATGTCAGTTTTTCGGGTTAATCTCAGGACAATAAACAAAAGATTTGCCAAATCTTTCTTCCACCCACCACTACATGTACATGCTTGATAAACTTGGCTAAATGAATAGACATGTTGTATAGCTAATTGTTGTCAAGATTTATTTTGTTGATGAAGCTTATCTATTCAATACCTGTAATATAAAAAGTATACACAATCCCTCCAAAAACATACAGATTGGTCGAGAACTTATGTTGGGGAAATCTCTTCCTAAATTAACTTTCTGATAAACTTGACCACAATGCTATCATGTCTTTTAAAAAAAGTGCAGCATACTCACCAAATAGAATTAAAGAGATTTCCACTGATAAATTTCAGAATATTAAATGTTTGTAACAAAAAAGTCATAAACAAATGGTTATACTTGATGGTGATAGATTATTTCTTACAATACATCATTTGTCCATGTGTTCCCTCAGGCATTTAGGTGTACCATGGCATACAGGTCATGTGATACAAACTTTGGTATGAAGGATGTGTATTAACCAAAAAAATGATTGATAGGTGATATAAATACAAAAACAAAAATCAACAAAAGCAAAACCTTTCATTGGACCCTTTTGAACATGGACTATAATAATGATACTCACACCAACCTTTAAAATTAATCCAAAGATAATGAGGAATTAAATGTTTGCCTTTGAACTTTTGTTGAGTACTTTAAATAGAAAATTCCTGATATATGACACCGTAACGGGATACTTAAGAAAAACATTTGTGGTTTCTTGACATTAACCACATTATATAAAATAATATTTCTGTTTTAAAGTCTAATGCTGAATAAATGAAGATACAATGCTGAATTCAATTTAATGTGAACATGCTGGAATGGGTCTAAATAATGTTTGCCTTTTTAAATAAACTATTGATGTAGAAACCCATCTATGAATGAACATTACAAAAGTGATGTCAGGGAACAACTATTTAGGAGAAGGCTAGGTTGTAGTTGAGAGTCAACACCCTTATTTCATCAGATTAAGAGCTTTGAGCTTGCTTTCAGTAATTGGAAGCATTCTTTGCTATAATTGTATTTTATTTATTTATTTTTTTTGTATGCATGTTCTTTAATTATCACATCATTATTTTGTCATATGTCATGTATGTTTTTTTTTGGTATTTAGAGAATCTGGTGTTGATGGAAGATGTCATATATGTCTCTATTTAATTTATTTACAACTTGTAAATAAGACCTAAGATAATTTAGAAGTTCCATGACATATTATATAAACAACTGTCTATTGTTATAGACTGTATTGGGCTCTAGATGTCTATAGGTAATGTTTGCTGTTGGCTTGCTGTCTTAAGAATTTTATCCCCTTAATCCTAAGAATTGACAGGACTTGATATTGAAGGCAAATAGTCACATTGTAGTACAAAAAGGATGTGTGTAGGAACAATTAAAACAATAGTGTGTACACACTGAAATGTTTCTCCTGCTTTGTTGATCATGATTAAATAAAAACTTTTGAAGGTCCTTAGGATCAAGCTTTTAATATAGATATCACACAAGTTTAACATCATCCATGATTTGAAAATGAGATCACAGTCAAATGAACCATGTCATATGAACATGTACACCTTGCAATCATTCCATATAAAGGTAGTACCAAATATAGATAGTTGACCTATTGCTTATAATATGTGAGAACTTAACATTGATCACTAATCCATGCAATAAATTCATGGTCTGATTATTCTATCTAACAGACATGTAGACCGTGCTCCTATCACTTGTAAGAACTAAGAAATCATGCATAAAAAAAACTTTTTTAAGCAGTCACTTAACCATTAAATTGAGGTCAAGGGCAACTGACTATGCCAGAGGGAAACTTCAGAACACAAGGTATGTTGAATTAGCATCCCTATGTCTTAAATTTTGCAGCATCCTCATAAATTTTACTCAACATAATCATAAAAAGATAAACTTTGATACCATAAAAATTGATCTGAATCACTGACACTGACAAAATTACTTGTTAAAAACATGACATTCAAATTAAATGTCATTAATATAATGATTATTTATTTATGTAAGAGTAATAATACTCTATGGGCTATTCGCCCTTAGCCCATAGAGTATTATTACTCTTACATAAATAAATAATCATTATATCAATGACATTTAATTGATGGGAATTTGTGGATGTTGAATGTCATGTTTTTAACAGTTTTCAATTCAAATTGGCACAGAACTATGTTCTTTTGAATTTCCATCTTATCATTTATCTGATCAGAACATTTATGAAATAAATGCTGATATTTTCAACAATTGCCAGTCCAACTCATCCTTTGAAAAATTATCCCCCCCTTTTTCAGAAAATAATATTTTTATGCAATTTTCTGCTTCCAAGGGTCACTTAGTACTTCCACATTAAGGCTAAACGGGTATAAAAACTCAAATTAAATCTGTACTACTGCCAGGGTGGTTTTAAACAACCTTGACAGCTGTTAAACCCTTGCACGGTCAGCATAAATCTGTAGCTTCTTATTATATGATTTTATCCCAAATAATTAATCAATTGATTCTGGCATTGCTTTGACAACCAAAAATATTATTTTATTTCATATCACTTTATCTAATAGTCATTTGCCATTCAACATGCAACACTGACTAAAAATATGAACAGTAACATATGCTATAATGAAATATAAAAGTTGTTTAATTTTATGTGTTATGTTTATGAGCATATGGTAAGACTGACAGAGTTACTTCCCATGTACTACTAAATTGAGGTAAATTTTATGGCTTTCCAAATACTGTTTCGATCCCTAACATCACTGAAGAGACATTGATTGTCGAAATCCGGATATGGTGTACTAATTTTTGCACCTTTTGTTTGCAGTATACCATCATTACTGCAATTTTATTGTTTTCTGTTTGGTATTAAATTCATATTATTAAAGATCCATTTTGTTACATCTTGTGATCCATTTATTTGGCAATCGCCAATGGCAGTCAGCAGGGTTTAAGAACATCAGTTGTTCAACCTGTTAGTCAAATGCGTTTTGTTAAAATATACTTTTTCACTTTTTGGTCTTTTGGAAAATGTTGTTTGTGCTGTATTTAGACCCCTTTACCAAGAAATTTGTATTGCATGCACATGTATAAAAATTGCTGTTCTTATCCAACGCAATCATAGGTTTGAACGTTGTTTTCAATTTAGACTTGTTTATATTTTTTCGTTTGGGCTTGTATTATATTTTCCTTCGGGTTTATATGATCCGTTCATCCTATTTCGACTCTTTAAAATTCAAGAGTCTATCCTAAATTGAGGTAAATTTTATGGCCTTCCAAATACTGTTTCGATCCCTAACATCACTGAAGAGACATTGATTGTCGAAATCCGGATATGGTGTACTAATTTTTGCACCTTTTGTTTGCGGTATACCATCTTTACTGCAATTTTATTGTTTTCTGTTTGGTATTAAATTCATATTATTAAAGATCCATTTTGTTACATCTTGTGATCCGTTTATTTGGCAATCGCCAATGGCAGTCAGCAGGGTTTAAGAACATCAGTTGTTCGACCTGTTAGTCAAATGCGTTTTGTTAAAATATACTTTTTCACTTTTTGGTCTTTTGGAAAATGTTGTTTGTGCTGTATTTAGACCCCTCTACCAAGAAATTTGTTTCGCATGCACACGTATAAAAATTGCGGTTTTTATCCAACGCAATCATAGGTTTGAACCTTGTTTTCAATTTAGACTTGTTTATATTTTTTCATTTGGGCTTGTATTATATTTTCCTTCGGGTTTATATGATCGGTTCATCCTATTTCGACTCTTTAAAATTCAAGAGTCTATCCTAATTGAGGTAAATTTTATGGCCTTCCAAATACTGTTTCGATCCCTAACATCACTGAAGAGACATTGATTGTCGAAATCTGGATATGGTGTACTAGTTTTTGCACCTTTTGTTTGCGGTATACCATCTTTACTGCAATTTTATTGTTTTCTGTTTGGTATTAAATTCATATTATTAAAGATCCATTTTGTTACATCTTGTGATCCGTTTATTTGGCAATCGCCAATGGCAGTCAGCAGGGTTTAAGAACATCAGTTGTTCGACCTGTTAGTCAAATGCGTTTTGTTAAAATATACTTTTTCACTTTTTGGTCTTTTGGAAAATGTTGTTTGTGCTGTATTTAGACCCCTCTACCAAGAAATTTGTTTTGCATGCACACGTATAAAAATTGCGGTTTTTATCCAACGCAATCATAGGTTTGAACCTTGTTTTCAATTTAGACTTGTTTATATTTTTTCATTTGGGCTTGTATTATATTTTCCTTCGGGTTTATATGATCGGTTCATCCTATTTCGACTCTTTAAAATTCAAGAGTCTATCCTAATTGAGGTAAATTTTATGGCCTTCCAAATACTGTTTCGATCCCTAACATCACTGAAGAGACATTGATTGTCGAAATCTGGATATGGTGTACTAGTTTTTGCACCTTTTGTTTGCGGTATACCATCTTTACTGCAATTTTATTGTTTTCTGTTTGGTATTAAATTCATATTATTAAAGATCCATTTTGTTACATCTTGTGATCCGTTTATTTGGCAATCGCCAATGGCAGTCAGCAGGGTTTAAGAACATCAGTTGTTCAACCTGTTAGTCAAATGCGTTTTGTTAAAATATACTTTTTCACTTTTTGGTCTTTTGGAAAATGTTGTTTGTGTTGTATTTAGACCCCTCTACCAAGAAATTTGTTTTGCATGCACACGTATAAAATTGCAGTTTTTATCCAACACAATCATAGGTTTGAACGTTGTTTTCAATTTAGACTTGTTTATATATATATATATATATATATATATGCTATTGATAATGAATTGCCTCCCTTTCAATGGAAAATAAAACTCATACTCACGTTTCATCTGTAAAATTTATACCAAAATATTCTTTTTCTTTTAATTTGAAATGGGAGGAAACTAAATCTAAAAGTTCTCTTGTGTAAAGTTTTGGCTGAAAAGAAACAAAAATAAGTATATCAATACACAATAAAACCAAAATAAGTTGCACAATAACAGACAAAAGTGCTTTATATTATATACTGAAAATTCAGAAATTATTGCATGCTTTTATTATTGTGTTTTTTGAAGAATAAACAAAAACGTTTGATTAATTATTGAGATTTCAGAAAAATCTGCATTCAAATATATGTATCAAATATCAGAATGCAAGTCCTTACTAGTATTATTGCGATACTCACCTAATCGCTTTAATGCATTAATTAAAACCTTGCAATAATTTCTGAATGTACAGAAGTGAAATAAATTTCTTGTTACAGTAACTACATATATTCAGATAGACAAATACTCTAATTCATTGCAATTCTATAAGTATTATGGACATTCATACTATTCAAATAAAAGAACAGAGTTCCAATGTCCCCCACGCTCCACATATTTTATCTATCCAAGGATCAAGGGCAATAACTAAACTAGAGGCTCTCAAGATCCTGTGTCGCTCACCTGATTCTACTTTGGTTTTGGAAATCATGTAAAAATAGATTAAAATCATAACAGATACCCTAATAATGAGTGAGGCCAAATTTGGTTTAATATTGGTCCTGTAATTTAATAAAAAATCCTGGTGGCCATCTTGAACAGTAAATCGGCAACAAATTAGCAACACTTAATCAGCACCTCATAAGGAACATTTATGCCATGTTTTGGTTTCATTCCATTCAGTGCACCTCTAGAAGAAGCATTTGTATGTATTTCCCATAGGGTCTTATGTTAAAGGAAGTCCCCCCATTGGCGGCCATCATGGATGAAGGATCAGCTTCAAAGTAACAAAACTTAGTCAGCACCTCATAAGGAACATTCATGCCATGTTTGGTTTCAATCCATTCAGTATGTGGTTCTCTAAAAGAAGACATTTGTATGTATCGTCCATAGGGTCCTTTGTTAAACATTGTCCCCATCTGGCAGCCATCATGGATGAAGGATCAGCTTCAAAGTAAAAACACTTGGTCAGCACCTCAAAAGGAACATGCATGCCATGTTTGGTTTCATTCCATTCAATGGTTCTCTAAAAGAAAACATTTGTACGTATTTCTCATAGGGTCTTATGTTAAACTAAGTCCTCCACTGGCGGCCATCTTAGATTATGAATCGGCTTCATAGTAACAACACTTGGTCAGCACCTCATAAGGAACATTCATGCCATGTTTGGTTTCATTGCATTCAGTGGTTCTCTAAAAAAAGACATTTGTATGTATTTCCCATAGGGTCCTATGTTAAACTAAGTCCCCCGCTGACTGCCATCTTGGATGATGGATCAGCTTCAAAGTAACAACACTTGGTCAGCACCTCATAAGGAACATTCATGCCATGTTTGGTTTCATTGCATTCAGTGGTTCTCGAAAAGAAGACATTTGTATGTATTTCCCATAGGGTCCTATGTTAAACTAAGTCCCTCTCTGGCGGCCATCTTGGATTATGGATCGGCTTCAAAGTAACAACACTTAGTCAGGACCTCATAAGGAACATTCATGCCATGTTTGGTTTCATTCCATTCAGTGGTTCTCTAAAAGAAGACATTTGTATGTATTTCCCATAGGGTCCCATGTTAAACTAAGTCCCCCGCTGGCGGCCATCTTGGATTATGGATCGGCTTCAAAGTAACAACACTCGGTCAGCACCTCATAAGGAACATTTATGCCATGTTTGGTTTCATTCCATTCAGTGGTTCTCTAAAAGAAGACATTTGTATGTATTTCCCATAGGGTCCTATGTTAAACTAAGTCCCCCGCTGGCGGCCATCTTGGATTATGGATCGGCTTCAAAGTAACAACACTTGGTCAGCACCTCATAAGGAACATTCATACCATGTTTGGTTTCATTGCATTCAGTGGTTCTCTAAAATAAGACATTTGTATGTATTTCCCATAGGGTCCTATGATAAACTAAGTCCCCCGCTGGCGGCCATCTTGGATTATGGATCGGCTTCAAAGTAACAACACTCGGTCAGCACCTCATAAGAAACATTCATGCAATGTTTGTTTTCATTCCATTCAGTGGTCTCTAAAAGAAGACATTTGTATGTATTTCCCATAGGGTCCTATGTTAAACTAAGTCCCCTGCTGGCGGCCATCTTGGACTATGGATCGGCTTCAAAGTAACAACACTCGGTCAGCACCTCATAAGGAACATTAATACCATGTTTGGTTTCATTCCATTCTGTGGTTCTCTAAAATAAGACATTTGTATGTATTTCCCATAGGGTCCTATGTTAAACTAAGTCCCCCGCTGGCGGCCATCTTGGATTATGGATCGGCTTCAAAGTAACAACACTCAGTCAGCACATCATAAGGAACATTCATACCATGTTTGGTTTCATTCCATTCAGTGGTTCTCTAAAAGAAGACATTTGTATGTTTTTCCCATAGGGTCCTATGTTAAACTAAGTCCCCCGCTGGCGGCCATCTTGGATTATGGATCGGCTTCAAAGTAACAACACTCAGTCAGAACCTCATAAGAAACATTCATGCCATGTTTGGTTTCATTCCATTCAGTGGTTCTCTAAAAGAAGACATTTGTATGTATTTCCCATAGGGTCCTATTTTAAACTAAGTCCCCTGCTGGCGGCCATCTTGGATTATGGATCGGCTTCAAAGTAACAACACTCGGTCAGCACCTCATAAGGAACATTTATGCCATGTTTGGTTTCATTCCATTCAGTGGTTCTCTAAAAGAAGACATTTGTATGTATTTCCCATAGGGTCCTATTTTAAACTAAGTCCCCTGCTGGCGGCCATCTTGGATTATGGATCGGCTTCAAAGTAACAACACTCGGTCAGCACCTCATAAGGAACATTCATACCATGTTTGGTTTCATTCCATTCAGTGGTTCTCTAAAAGAAGACATTTGTATGTATTTCCCATAGGGTCCCATGTTAAACCAAGTCCCCCGCTGGCAGCCATCTTGGATTATGGATCGGCTTCAAAGTAACAACACTCGGTCAGCACCTAATAAGGAACATTCATACCATGTTTGGTTTCATTCAATTCAGTGGTCTCTAAAAGAAGACATTTGTATGTATTTCCCATAGGGTCCTATGTTAAACTAAGTCCCCTGCTGGCGGCCATCTTGGACTATGGATCGGCTTCAAAGTAACAACACTCGGTCAGCACCTCATAAGGAACATTAATACCATGTTTGGTTTCATTCCATTCTGTGGTTCTCTAAAATAAGACATTTGTATGTATTTCCCATAGGGTCCTATGTTAAACTAAGTCCCCCGCTGGCGGCCATCTTGGATTATGGATCGGCTTCAAAGTAACAACACTCGGTCAGCACATCATAAGGAACATTCATACCATGTTTGGTTTCATTCCATTCAGTGGTTCTCTAAAAGAAGACATTTGTATGTTTTTTCCCATAGGGTCCTATGTTAAACTAAGTCCCACGCTGGCGGCCATCTTGGATTATGGATCGGCTTCAAAGTAACAACACTCAGTCAGAACCTCATAAGAAACATTCATGCCATGTTTGGTTTCATTCCATTCAGTGGTTCTCTAAAAGAAGACATTTGTATGTATTTCCCATAGGGTCCTATTTTAAACTAAGTCCCCTGCTGGCGGCCATCTTGGATTATGGATCGGCTTCAAAGTAACAACACTCGGTCAGCACCTCATAAGGAACATTCATACCATGTTTGGTTTCATTCCATTCAGTGGTTCTCTAAAAGAAGACATTTGTATGTATTTCCCATAGGGTCCCATGTTAAACTAAGTCCCCCGCTGGCAGCCATCTTGGATTATGGATCGGCTTCAAAGTAACAACACTCGGTCAGCACCTAATAAGGAACATTCATACCATGTTTGGTTTCATTCCATTCAGTGGTTCTCGAAAAGAAGACATTTGTATGTATTTCCCATAGGGTCCTATGTTAAACTAAGTCCCCCGCTGGCTGCCATCTTGGATGATGGATCAGCTTCAAAGTAACAACACTTGGTCAGCACCTCATAAGAAACATTCATGCCATGTTTGGTTTCATTCAATTCAGTGGTTCTCTAAAAGAAGACATTTGTATGTATTTCCCATAGGGTCCTATGTTAAACTAAGTCCCCCGCTGGCTGCCATCTTGGATGATGGATCCGCTGCAAAGTAACAACACTTGGTCAGCACCTCATAAGGAACATTCATGCCATGTTTGGTTTCATTCCATTCAGTGGTTCTCTAGAAGAAGTTCAAAATGTAAAAAGTTAACGCCGACGACGGACGACGGATGCCAAGTGATGAGAAAAGCTCACTTGGCCCTTCGGGCCAGGTGAGCTAAAAATACACTTTTTGTTGTTCTTTAAAACTGTTAAAACTGTTGATAAATATCTAACAGAAATGAATGCTTCAGAGCAAATTCAATGTGATTTCCAATATAATTAATATTTCCAAGGGGTATAAACTCTTTAAAAATTTTGATCAGCACTTATTTTTGAAAGTGTCACAGACATTGCGGATAACCTGTGATATAAATTTCATATAATTCTGGCAAGAATTGTACACATGAGAGCGCTAACGATGCAATTTTTTACCAACTGAGCAAGTCTATAAGCAACTAACTGAAATCAATTATATAATAATAAAATTATAAACATTCAATAGATTAATCTTTCTTCTTTCTATTGGTTCCTCATTTATGGGTTTTATAAAGCTGTATGAAAGTAATAATGTCAGCTTAAAGCTGTCTGAATGGTGGTGAAAAAATCTTTGTATTGTGGGACCTTAAATCACTGATAAAAATCATCCATACTTAACAAAATACCAATGCTGTTAAAGAAAACCAATTATAATGGATTCCATACAGTATAGCTGACAGTACAGTCTTTGAGTAACACTAGCTATATATCTTTTAAGTTTCAACAGAGTCTCAACAGTAAAGACTTGTAGACCAAACAAACACTGTTTTAACCAACAACTAATTCATCACTAATAGCCAATAAGTCTGGTTATTATCACTGCTTCACAAATGATATTTTAACTGCCTTTCAGTATTTTTAATAGATAGGTTTCCATGAAAACATGAACATTAATAGCTACCTGAATGAGGAGGTCTAATCTTCTTTCATCTGGTAATACTATTTGACTTTTCCTCCCTTCATTCATCTGTAAAATAAATAAATATTCATTACTACAATGTAATTACTTTTTTGTTTCATGTAAACAAGAACTCATCCTCACTAAACTTTGTACCTTATTCTGCTTGTCTGAAAAAATGTCTAATATTATACCATGCTCTTTTGTGAGCCCAATTAATGGAAAATAAACATCTTTTTTTTTTTTTTTTTCAAATCTTTTACCTAGTAGATTGTAAATTTTTAAGAGTTCCTGTTTTATTTATTCACAACTTTTTTGGACTTGGGGCATTTGAAAGCTTGACATATTTGTAGACCTCTATATGTCTTCTGGTTCTATTATATATTACTTGGTTATAATTACTGTCTTATTTGATGTATTCATATACAGCAGCAGTCTTTATTGTTTTTACCCTTACATCTTTAAGGGGAACTAATGCTACATACTTATGGTGGCTAAAAATGCCCTGTTGGAAATATGTGTGAAATGGTATAGGGGAAATAACTCTAGTTTACTGTTATTAAAGCTGTTTTAGAAAAGATGTACTTTAAACTTCACAATGAAAAGTTTCACAAATAAAATATTTTCCTGTTAAATATTAAGAAACAATCGGCTTTTTAAAACTCATATGCACAAATGAAGCTGTTTCTGAGTACACTTCCCTAAAGTAGACGTAATTTCATACTAACAGGATAATATATCTAGTTACCATACTTAAAAGATTTCCTGTCGATTGGCCTTTTCTAATAAAACTACTTTTAATAATGAACAAAGAACAAAGTTTATATATTACAAATTTCTAAAACAAATACTATATTTGTTATTGCATAGAGTTACAGTTTTTAAGACCTACAGTAAATATTAACGGTAAATAACATGAAGGGTTTAATGTCCTTCTGATATATATATATCTTCTTTGGTAAGAGAGTGACATCTTTTGTCTTTTACTGAGTACATGTTTTGTCTTTTTCTAAGTGTATAATAGTAGACCAAAGGCAAAATATCTTACATTTCTGAGTCCAAATTTGCATCAAGATTAAAAGTTGTATTCAATCATCATCTCAACAAAACAGTAATCTTAATCTTTTAATCATCTGTAATGGTATGGTGGTGACCCAACCAACAGATATTGTTTCATTTGGATCCATTTGGAGATTCTATATTTAACCGAGGTAGATATACTCTACTTTTGTGAGAAATTCTATAACACAACCATAAAAAGACCAGATAGATTTTATTCCATAATATAATTTCGACCAAGACCACCTGCACTTGAGGCGAGAGAAATTGTCTGTTAAATTTTAACATATATTGATGATATTCAAATGATTCTGATAGAATTTTGCCTTTGACATATTCCTCAGACAATAAAAACCAATCAGAATCAGAAACTAAAAGTAGTAAATGGAAGGAGGAAACACAACTTTGTGGTTTGTGTGGTTACTTCTTATATTAATACAACTTAAAAAGAAATAAGGAGGGAAAGATATTTGGCTCCTTACAATTTATTTGGTCATGAGACATTGCCAAGATGTACGACTGAACGACTTTTAAGAATTTTCTTATTTTTGGAAATTTAAAAGCTTACTTTTGACTGCAAAAATGCCTATCAGCATGGATCAAATTTATAATGTATAATCAATATCCAGACAATTTGCAATGTCTACTGTATTGGTAGACAAAACTCACAATTTTTAATATCCTACTCTTTTATTTCAATCACTGAGTGAATTAATATGAATAGTATATAATGAAATGTTTACGCTTTATCTTTAAAATTCATACTTAGGCTTGGCAGCAGAAGTTGCTGCAGCATTGCCAAATCTGGTCATAAAGAGCATGATCATTTAAATAAATGGGGAATGTGTCCATGGGACACAGATGATGCCCCCGCTTGCATATCATATAAAGTTATAAAGGGACATAACTGAAGAACAGTAAAAGTGACGCTACCCAAATTTATACTTGATCTGAGTTTTGTGGTAATAAGTATTGTGTATAAGTCTCATAACATTTGGTAGAGGCTAACTTAGTTAGAGAACAGAAACGAAAAATTCAGCAATTTTTCTATTTGTAAACAGGCATAACTCTAGAACTGTAAAAGTGACGCTACCCAAATTTGTACTTGATCTGTATTTTGTGGTAATTAGCATTGTGTTTAAGTTTCATAACATTTGGTTGAGGCAAACTGAAGTTAGAGAACGGAAACCAACTTTGGGATGTACGGACAGACAGACGAAAGGACGTACAGACGGACAAGGGTAAAACTTAATGCCCCCTCCGCTACGGCGGGGGCATAAAAACATATCAAATGGGTTTGCAAGAACAATATTAACAGAAATCATAATAATTTTATACTTTCATAAAACAACTGCTTCAAAATAAATTAAATTTTTTTCTTATTTTTATTACAGAGTCAACACATGATCTTTTACAAAATACTCTCCAATCACCATCAATATTTATTGTAATATATACTTCTTTGTGACTTAGCTGACAATACAACTCATCTGTGTCCCCATACTGTGTTTTAGAATAAAACAAATAAATCCAGCAGTTTATCTGACAGAAACATCTGTCACAAAAACAAGTTCATGTATCTAATTCTAAATAAAAATTCATATCAACAATTTACAAAACTGTTTACAGTGATTGCTTTATTATCTTTACTTTTCTCTTGATTGATTATGTTCAGACAAATTATGCAATAAACAATAAAATTTCTGAAAAGTACAGTGACTGCTATTGGATAATTTCTTAATTCCTGATGATATAAGTATGACAAGTGTGAGGAAGTCATAGTATGTTGAGGGCTACCCTCTGAATGACACCAATTACATATTTTATCATTTTATCCACTTCACAATTCAAATGTATCCTAAATTAGCTTGGAAGATAATAAGTTAACCTGGACCAATGAATCTTAAAGCCAATTAAATAGTAAAGCAATAGTAGTCAGTAAAAGCATACAAAAGGATACAAAATCATTTGGCAAGTAGCATCTTAATAAATTTAATGCCCAGATATGACAGTCCATTAATGTGTCCAGACAACCCAATATGGCTAGGAATTCAACAAACAGAGATGACTTAATCGTGTTTAATCTTAGTCACCATTCCCAATTTGTTTCATTGTCTTTTGTTTTGTTGTGTTTGGTCCCAAGAAAGTGACAAAGTCTCCAAGACAGAATGACTCATATATATGCAATCTTGATGCACTTTCATTATCATTTATAACATTACGAGAATTTATGATTCCAGACTGCCAAAGAACCAAAATATCAAAGAAACAAATGTGAAATATTGCAGATAAAACAATTACTGAATATTTTACTTGTGCTTGTGCATTGTATGCATGTTTAAAATGCAGGTTCTCCAATTACCCCAGTTGTGAAATTCTTTTGTAAAGTATTACATAATTATTTTTGATCATATCATGGCTGGGTGTTACAAAACATCTGCTTCTGTTAAATGTTTATTATTGTGACCTAACACGCAAGGCTATGATCCTGCCAAAAAGAATATTCACTGATAGCAAATTTTGTGGTTTGAACAAAAAAGATTTCTATGATAAATATTACATGTATATAAAAACCTTGCTATAGAAGAAGTTATACTACACTCAAATTCTAGGACAATGCATTATACTTCAAATCAAAACCCGTAGAGGATAAAAAAGAAAAGGTTCACAAATTGTACACACTGGCCATATGGATGATCAGTTTAATAACCATTATCTGAATTGAATGAAAAATATCAAAAATATACTTAAAAACATGAGTGCGCACACTGAAATATTTTGCTGCTTCACTGATCAAGTTTGAACATTATGTTGAAAGTCTTTGTAATAAAGGTTCAAGTAAAGGTATCACATAAACCTACATTATCAAAAATCAATTAAATGAGGTCAAAGTCAGGTAAACCCTGCAAGACAACATGAATACCTAGCAATCCATCCATACACCAAATATAGTTGGCCTACATGTATTGCTAAGTATCTTTGAAACCAACCCAACAACTTCAAGTTATTTTTGACCAGAGAATGAAAATGAGGTCAAGGTCAGATGAACCTTTGCAGAAAAACATGTACACTTTACAATTGGCCCGAGAACACAGTTATTTCCTAGTGAATTTCTTATAGACCAATTGTTCTTAATAATGTACCAAGTATAGATTTTTCCAAACTATATCAACCTGGATTAGCCAATTGCAATATTAATTAAGACTTTATAAGACAGGCTGAAGAAAGCACTATTTTACTATATTGTGTTATGAAATAAAGATGTTCAGATTATTGCTTGCCTATATATTACTGTTTTTAATAAAAATTCAAAACATCGAATTACATGTAGTAACAAAATGAATGAGTAGTAATAACTTTAGAGAATGTACCTACTAGAAAAAAACCTGTGCTCTCAAAAATATTATAGGTTTCTGCATCACTGACATAAATAAAAGAAACTTCAATAAATTGTAGGTCAAGGTGATTCCCTTTCCAGCATGACCATATTATGGAACACTTCAATGTCATTGACTTTCCCCACTGTATTACTATAACACTCAAATTTGAGCTATTCAATCATTCAGGTTATAGAAACATAGGTGAAATGAAAAAGTAAATAATTTGGCAAGTTTGCACATTTCAACAACAAATGTAAGAAGAGCGAGTCTTTTTTTCTTTCTTTACTTATTAAATTCAGTTGTTTCCTAATTCTATTAGATTTATACTATAAAGGTATTAAAAAACACATCAAACATTAAACTGTTTATTTTGACTGATTATTACTTACACTTTCTTTAATGTAAAGTAATAAGTTCATCCTTTAAAATCAAATATCCCTGTTTAAACAAAGTATACAAATTATTTTGAAGTAAAAATATGACATCTGCATGCTCATTCACAACTTCAGGGAACAACCTGACAATGGTCAGCTTCACAATCACCTTTGATTTCCATTAAACATTCATACATCCATCAGACCAAGAAAATCTCACCTTCCAGCTGGAGACTTGACAACAAATTACAAAAAG